TAATTTGTTTTTAGAGAAGGGTGGCGTAAAGAGACTGCCACCGAAAAAGGACTGCACGAAGTTACACACTTTGCTGCTGTTGTTGTCTACAACGACGAAATGGTAACACGAGACGAGTTCAGTGTGTCAATTATTGTTGTTGGTTTGTTTTGGTAGTTCTTTCTGTATTTTATTGCAAGGATATTTGGCTCTTTGGGAAATCTCTGTCAGTTGGCGGGAGTATTTGATGAGTAGTGGTTTTTTAAATGAGAACAGAATCATTGCTCTCTTCAGCTCTCCTAATACATTGCGGTGCTCATTCTCACGTGTTTGCTTACCATCTCTCTCACACACTCTTTTGTCAGCAATTTGGCGCAGCGAGAAATGAATAAAAGAGAATATTAACCTTATTAATAATTTGTCTATATTTTAAGAGAGGGAAAACTAGGTTTTACCAAATTTGGCTTTTTCGAAAAATTGACGATATTAGTGACATTTGAACTCAATGTGGTTATTGCAAATACTACAATCTGGAGAAAGCTTAAAAAGCATCCTTGAAAGAAATGTTACAGACAACTGTGTCTTGATTTACATTAGACAAGTTTTAACATTTTACAAAAAAGCTATTAACCTTTTAACTTCAATGTAAAGAAAACTGTTCGTGCTTTATGAAAACGATTTGTTTTAAATAATAGCAGTTCTAACTGTTTTATATGGAAGACTTTCTTTATGAATTTGTAAGTTTTTTGCCTTGTGATCTTTTTATGACATGCCGTTAGGAAAGAATGGAGATACAAGACTTTTAGACCCCCTTTTGATTTATGTCCCACAGGGGGAAATCTTTCCTATTATCATCCAGAATAAAAAAAGGTAATGTAAAGAAAGGGTTGGAGAGACGAAATACATAGCATCAAACTACTGAAATAACAGATAATAGATTCTAGCTCCAGTGGCAAATCATTGAATTTTTGGGTCCACGCTTTCGATTCCTTCGGTATTTTGATCGTAGTCAGATTTACCCTCCAAATTGTTTCAAATTTGGTATTTAAGAAGATTTGGTAGATGATAATCTTTGAAGCATAAAATTGTCCTGATAGGTTCCCGTTTTGGCATGTTGAAGTACCCATTACGAACTTCAAATACGAAATTTGACGCAATTCCAGTGAATAATGTTGCGAAAATCCTGGAAATAGCGACTATCTCGGGGTAGCGTTATATGGGTGCTATACTAAAACGTAGACCTCTATAGGCAAGTCTCTTCCAAGGGTAAAGTACCCAGAGATAACTCCTTGTGTGGATTTTCAGACTATTCCATTAAAAATTTGTGGGCCTATATAGACAATTCTTTTTCAGAGGATAAAGTACTTACAGAAAACTCCTTATGTAGAATTTCAGACAATTGTCCACATTGAAAATTTTGGTTACGTTACGTAATCCTGATTGGCGGCCTTAAAAGTGACCATCCGGCTGCTAGCGGTCTTGGGGTCTGGTTCTCAACCGTCACTTTGTAACACCTCAGGACGAACACGAAACTATAACATTACACATCACAAATATAATACACTACACAAACACAACACCTGCTCAGACAAGGGAGAGTTGATGTTTCTACTTCCGCATTCGTCCACCCTTCCATGGTCTTCAGGGTTCCTTTTTAAACTAATTTTCTGAAGACCCCACAAACACTCACCTCTTTACCTAGTTAGAAAATTGCTCTATTAATTTTTATTTTATTTTCACTCTAATTCAAATCACAAAATTATTTATTGACAGACGGGACTTACAACTAAATACAAATAAATTTTGTCTAATTTAACAGGGACAATCTAACACCAGATTATATTAAAAATGTAAAAAATGAAAAATAGCAAATTTTTCTTGTGAGAAACCTAGGAAATTTTGTACGTCTGCACTTTTCAGACCTCAAATTCTAATCAAAATACTACCTATTGTAAAGGAGCTCTCTTACAATGGCCTCACTAGCCAAAATTGGCTCTAATTGAAACAAACGACTATAACCTCTAGTTTTTTCTGGATATTGCTTATATTGTATAAGGTAAAATTTAAAGGAAACTGGCGTTAAACATCCTTACATTGAAACATTAAGAAAGGACATCACAACATATACTTATACTATTTAATTAAATTTAAACTGTATCTAAATAAAAATAATTTGAATGTCTATCAATATTATCCTACCGTTATTTAAATTACATTTTTATGGTTTCTTATAATTATGAATTTTTTTAATAATTGTTCTTATTTTTCCGATATCTCGTCTTATTTTAGTTGCATGTCCCTAGACTTTCTTCCGTGCTCCAAAATATGAATAAAGAAAAAGGGCGTCTATTACCTGGTCGTTGATTAAGTGGCGTAATCTTAATTCTTATGCCACAGGAGCGGACAACTTGCGATCAAACAATCTTCTTCTTGCGGCCAGCCGATTAGTTTTGACCAATCTCCACCACCTCGACCACAGACACCAAACAAAATTAGGACACACCTTCAATTCAACGGCCGAAACCTTCAATTTCAACGGCCAATTTAAACCCAAGGACCGGGTATTTAACACCTGATCCCCACTCAGCAGAGAGTGGAGACCAAAAAAAATATTGTAATTTTGGGGAATCTTTATATAGAAAAATACAAAAATAAAAATGTTTGATTTCCCACTGTCCTATTATGAGTTCTCACTTTTTATAAACAAGTAAACACACATAAAAATTCACTTTTTTAGTGTTAAAAACTTCTTTTGACCGTCGTATTTTCCCCTTTTTATAGTCGCTTCATTTTGCCACCATTTTTTCCTAATTTTTCCAATGTTCATTATGGACATTCTTGATGGCGATAGGGTAGCTACGAAATAGCTACTCAGCCATGGGTGTACAAAACCGTAGCCAAATAACGATTGAACGATCCCTATTTTTTTTATTATGGCAACGCCATCCATTTTCATGTCAGTTTCATTTTTGTTTCGCATGATGCGCAACAGCATCCAACTTTAAAATTTTGTTTTTCTGAATCGGGTCTCTGAGCTATTTCCCTTTTCAAAGAAATAGCTACTGGGGTAAGTAATCAAAGACATATTTAAAAAACAATGTAAAAACTATTTACTTTGAATTTTCAGGTAAGCCATGCTGCCTACACGCCCCCTGATGACCCACCCGACGCAACATCATTAAATAACGTATTTTTCACTACAAAAATCTCCTTTTTTGGGCAAAAATAACAATCGGATTACACATTTCAATTTGAAAACAGGGTTTGTTCTTGGGCCAAACAAATAATTTGTGTAAAATTTCATCCCGATGGGGCAATAGATGCGACCTGTACTTTTTTACAAAAATACATGGATGGACATGCATAAAATAATCAAAATACCGAATATCGGGAGGTACCGTTATATGAGGGCTATACGAAAACGTGGACCCGCACAGAAATCTTTCTGTCATAGGCTGAAGTATCCATTCAAACTTCAAATACCAAATTTGAATTCTGGTGAATAATGTTGCTTAAATCATCAAAATACCGAAAATAGGGAGGTACCGTTACATGGGCACTATACCAAAACGTGGACCTACATGGCCCATTTTAAATATCAAAAGCCCTGCAGACATAATATACATTAAAGTAAAATTGTATCAACCTATTTCATTTCATTCGGAAGACGGATAGCCGGACGGACATCGCTAAATCGACATAGATTTTTATGCAGATCAAGAATATATATACTTTGTGGGGTCTAAAATATATATTTCGAGGCATCACAAACGAAATTACAAACTTAATATACCTTCCATACTATGGAGTTTCTTGGCAAAACTGCTTGCAGAGCCTGGAAATGAACAATTCGCATACCATTCAAACTTTCAGTTGCTATTCCCATCAGTATTGGATCCATTACAAAGCACGAACAAAATAACAATAAAATACCATTCCGATCTCTGTTCATTTCATTTCGACTACCAACATAACACGGAATAAATCTTGAATTGAAATCCTTAATCGGCATTGCCCCCTTTTTTAGTTCTAAGCCCTTAATATAAATAAAAAAATTGTGTATGACACATTACTCTCACACACGGTAACTCCACCTACCATGACCAACAGTTGCTATGAACTTGTAAAAATGAGGGTGAACCTTCCCAACACAACATACACTCTGATTGCCTTCGAAGGAAGTACCTATACAGTATTGTGAAAGAGTCGCATAGCAACAACCGGCAAAAGGATGTACATACAAAAAGATAATTCCTTTTATCTTCAGATAAATAAAAAATTTTCACCACGTCCTTCTATTGCTATAATATGCCGTTATTGTGATTGTGTATTATCTTCACTTTATTCAGTTACGAATAAAACAGGGTTGGTTTTCATTATATGGTTCCATATATTTAAGCCAACATTTCCCTAGTCTAGTCTCGTTGTTACTGCATTTCATGCATGAACCAAGAAACTGACCGACATTTTTATTACCGGAATTGTGAATGACAAGAACAATGTTTCGAAAAAGATATTTCAGTTTAAATTACGGGGAATATTCGGAATGAAAATGTGTATTCAATGTTTGAAAGGATATTTTTTGAGAATAATGGCATTTTTAAGGATTCGTGTCTATAATATTCATAAAGGTGTGGGACATATTTATTTCGTTTATCCCATTAATATTTTCCTATTGCTATACTTAGGGGGAATTTAAATTCCTAACACAATTAAATCTTTTGTCCATTTGGCACAAAATAAGTTTTGCTCAGCTCCAAATATCAAATGCCCGCGTAATAAGTTTCTTTAGTGACACATTAATTTCTAAAAGACGTGTGACGGTCTTCTAGACTATAAGTCTAGGGAGGCGATTTTTCAAACTTCCAGACAAACATTGAAATTTTTCCCCCATATAAGGGTTCAAAATATTAAATTACGGCCACTTCAGATTAAAACATATTGGACTTTTTTATATGGCAGGTTTTCTTCCAGCGAAAGTATTCAATTGAAATGAAGAAATTATATGGCTTGAGGGAGAATTTATAGGTTAGATTAAGTTATATACATATTTATTTATAGTTAAGAAGTAAAAATTAGTATTACACATTAAAGCTTACATTACAAAAAATATACTTTCTATACCACACGTCTGTATATATTCTTATTTATATACAAACATCACATGAACAAATATATATTATTAAAAGTTATATATCGTTAGGTCTAGCATTATTTGGATTATTTTCATTATTCTCTTTACTTTCTATACTTCGTTCCCTTTGTAATCGTCTTTCTTGGACACGAACACATTTTGGACAAATCATATTTTTACGAGTCATACAAACACGATGATATATAGAATTACACATGTCACAAATAATGCAACCATCATCGAAGGGAAATATAACTTCGTCATTGCTACAAATTTCACAGATGTAGGCCTTGGCCATGCACATGGAACAGCTGCGTATATGCTTGTCGAAACAATTGAAGACTTTATGGAGATAATCTGCTAGTGTACCATTTTCAGTTTGTTCCAGATCGTTGATGGAATATAATTCATTGGACTGTATTAGGTAACGACGATGACCTACAAGGATTAAAGCATTTTAATATTAGTGCATCCAAAAAATAGTCTTCAAGCAATGTGATTTTATAGTAAGGAATAGCGCAGATGGGCACATTGAGTTATGTTCCTGTTTTTATCTTAAACCACAATTCCTTTCAATGCATTTTTATTGTCGGGCTTTAGAGTAGCGAAATTTCTCACTCAGCAAAACCAACAACAATAAGGATGTAATGTTATTAACACTTACCTATTTGAGTTTCTAGTATCTTATCTTCCAATGCCTGCCGACATTCTGACAAATATTTTCTCATATATACCAGATTTGTACGTAGTTTCTTTACCGTGGCCAATTTTTCAAGGAAGACAAATAACTTCGGATTGGCTTCTTCAAGACGTATCAAAGGTTTATCCAGAAATAACTGGATTTCTTGCAAGGCTGAACGGGAAACTTTTCGAGGCAAAAAATCCCAATTATGTACAACACGAGCTGGAATCACACTCTGATCATTCCAATGGCACGAAGGACAGAAATACAGACCTGTATAATCACATAGTCTTGGTTCAATCCAGGAGTTTTCTGTAATATTCAAATATGAAACAAAATAGATGTAAGACAAATTTCTATTTGCTTTTCAAAAATGTAAATTGTTGGCAATAAAAGTATTCTAAATACCAGGTTTGGATTTTCTTCCAAAACATTGTATGGTTGTATGCAAGGCTTAGATTATGATGATATACATGGGAACATAAAAGAAATAAAAACAAGACACAATTACAACAAACAAATTGAGGTAAATTCATGAGCTTGTACTTACTGCAATTAAGCAACGTTTGACATTCCATGCACTTGTATTGTTGGGCAGCCAGACCAATTTCGGGACAAATTTCCAAAATGGGATATTGGCGTTCGGAAGCTATAACATGTGCGCACACTCTAGTAACTTTGTCAACACATTTTTGATGGGCCATATAACGACAGTCGGTACAAAAATAGGATGCCTGGACCACACTCCAAATAATGCCCGTGCAATAATCACAATAATTTCGCTGGGTGGGTAAGGGTAGTGTTTTGCCAATGCCTCTTTGACGCGCTGTAAAGTGATGACCCACAACCGTCTTAACTGTTGGTCCCACCTCCAGTTTATCGCTTTGAGCCTCTTGTAATTCTTCCAGGGAATACCTGAGGTCCACCAAATGCCTAACCAGCCATCTACGTTCTTCACTATTCTCCTCGGAAATCAGCACCAAATCTTTGCAATGGTTGATGGCTTCCTGCAGATCTTGAACACTGGCCTCAGAGTTAAATATCAAACGCCACTGCTCCTTAACCAATGAAGCCGGTATGGGCAAAGATTTTTCACTCACTAGTATGGCTCCTGACGCAGAATCGATTTCGTTAAAACTATGCAAGGACTCTGTTGTTGGTGTAGATGACGCACTCAGACGATCTTCCGCTGCTGTAGACAAAGAATCGTTTTGACCTTGACTATTTCTAGCTGCCACATAGTAGTTCGATGCAGCTGTGGCTAAATTTTGCACAGCACCAGGAATGCTGGCCAGGCTATCGCGCAATGTATTCATTTCTTTGACATTCCAAAATCTTTGTTTCTTCGTATTTGGCCCTGGAACAGGTAATTTGATTATGTTTTGGTGGGATATGAATGTTCTTGTATCACCAGATTTCCAAGCTTCTATTAGAAAGTCGTCGCCGTTACAACTAGCAAACAAAGGCCAAGGAATATTAGATAAATATGCAAATCAAAACAAAAACAAACAATGCATACAGGGATACTTAAGATCGAAACAATTTGCGTTATTGGTTTCGTTATAAGAGATGCGTTATTGCCAACATCAAAATTATATGATGTGTTCCATTTTTAAATACCCTCCACCATAGTATGGAGGGTATATTAAGTTTGTCATTCCGTTTGTAACACCTCGAGATATACTTTTTAGACCCCACAAAGCATATATATTCTTGATCAGCATAAAATTCTATGTCGATTTAACAATGTTCGTCTGTCTATCCGTCTGTGGAAATCACTCTAGCTTGCGAACGAAATGAAGTAAATTGATAAAAATTTACTCAAATGTGTATTATGTCTGCAGGACTTTTGGTATTGAAAATGGGCCATGTAGGTCCACGTCTTCGTATAGTCCCTATATAACGGCACCTCCCGATATTCGGTTTTTTTTTTTTTTTGATTTTAGCGAAATTATTTACCGGAATTGTTTCAAATTTGGTACTCGAAGTTCGAAATGGATACCACAGCATAAGACAGAAAATTGTCCGTGCAGGTCCACGTCTTCATATAGCCCCCATATAACGGTACCCCTGATATACGGTATTTTGATGATTTTGGCGACATTATTCACCGGAATTATTTCAAATTTTGTATTTGAAGTTCGTAATGAATACTACAGTCTATGCCAGAAAATTGTTTGTGCACGCTTCTGACAAAAGTTGCGTATGCAGCTCCACCTCGTCGTATAGACCCTAATATACGGCTATATTCGGTATTTTTGGATTTTAATTGTTTGAAAAATGCCACATTTGAACCAAATGGTGGAGGGTATTCAAAGTTCGGCCCTGCCGAACTTTTAGTACTTTTACGCTGTAAAGGATTTAGAAAACCCAGTAGGTTTAAATTGTCAATTCCATTTCATATACCTCAAATAAATCTTCATAAAGAAGGTTAACCCGGAAAAAAGCTCTAACGTAAACATGCCATTACAGCTTTTTTACTTGTTAGTAGTTACGGCAGTAAGAGTGAATTGTCAAAATCTCCAAAATCTCTGCGAAACAACTTTACCTCAATCTTGTGCCATGAAAATGTGAAAAAAAATTGTAAAGGAAAAATGTCAAATGCGACATTGAATACAGGAAATATGTTTCATTTCATATTTCCATAGAAATGTGCAGTCATGTCACAGGAACGAATTCGGTACGAAAGTGATTTTAATTTCGAATTTAGCTTCATCAGAAATCGTAAAACGCAAAATATTTTTTGTTTGAAACCAATTTTTTTGCAAGTGAAATTGTATTTTTATGGAAACTTATGACTTTAAAACTCTCTCACACCACTTTTAAGTAATAACGATGTTGTCTTAATGACAAATACACAAATTTAATTTTTTTATCTTTTTTTATTTAAAATAACTACCAAATTTTAATGGTTTCTCAATTGACGAAGCCAATTGTTAAGAAAGTGTTGCAAAGAGAAAAAACAAAACAAAAAGAACACTCAAAAATATAATTTTGTACAAAAATGTAATTATCTTCAAATATGTATAATATGTATTGTGGAATCCTGTTTAATCAATCATTCATTAATTTATATTTTAGGAGCAAGCACAGGAATTCGACAATAGAAACAGTTGTCATAGATTTTATGAAGAGGCACCAGGACCTAGCGAGGGCTATGTCAAAGACATGGTCAGACTGGACAGTATACGTTAAAAAAAATGTGTTACAATTAAAAGTAAAATGTAAAAACTGGTGGGTGTCCTTTCAATAAATATGTGCTCAGGAATCAAATGTTTAGTTTTTCACAAAAAACTCTTAAACAGAATATTTAAACTTCTACAGGAATCAATGTAATGCTTCGTTTTTCACAAAAAAAAACTCTTTTAAACAGAATATTTAAACATCTACAATGTTTCTAATCATGTGTGTTTGTCTTGATTCCTAATTCATTGTTTCTTTCATTCCCCTAATGTTACCATATTGAATATATAATGTTGGCATATTTAAACTGAATTCGTAGTTCACCAAATCGTACGAAATCTGAAGAAGCTAAAACAAAAAGAACGATTTTGAATTACGAAATTCAAACCATTTTGTCACATACCTGATAATATTTGCAATGTACGAGAAAAAACTATCAATATCTTTAAAATTCATTATTATATCTTCCAATCAGAATCTGACAATCATGCTACTACTTTTTACTCTATATCTCGTTAAAGAATAAAATAGAAAAAACGATGGATTATCATTCAATAGAGGTAGCCCCATTTGTCAAAGCGGTAATGGAAACGCTTTTTATATCTGGAGCTCATGTAATATTCAAAAAATTTCAAAATAATTCCGTAGCTACCTACGTCTTTTTACTCACTCACTCACGGAAACTTCCCTCTTGGATAGTTCTCTCCCCATAACATTTCAAAACACACTATATTTTATTAATGACTTTTTCTGGGCATATAGAATGCCTTATTTCTTTTATTTCTTGTAATCTTGGTCGAGAAGCCATGGAAAAAGTCATCGTTTACACACTATAATGTTAATAAAAATAATTGGTTGCGTACTTTATGTGAATCAATATTAAAATATAAATTTAAATGTTAATATTTTTCAATTTACGATTCAATTCATTGAACTTCAGAATTTTTCGCACAAAGAAATCACCATAACGATGGGAAACCTTAGTATCGGCAATGTGAATCATGTCGTCATCAATGTAGAAGTCCAACTGAAAACAAACAGATTAGTTAAATAATTTATAAAAATAATAAACTTTGTTTTTTTTTAATACCTCTGAACCAGATTTAAATGTGCCTTCCAAACCACTGGAACCCTTGGACCAAACCAAATTGCGCATTTTATGCTTGAAACACAAGAGACGAATCAACAATTTCGATACATCATCTTCGCTGGCTTGAGGATCAATGAATGAAGCCAATTTAGCCAGTGGCAGGGTGGTGTACAATTTCAAGTATGAACGTGTGGTTGGTAGATCAGCTTGTTGTCTTACTTCATCCATGAATACCATCAGTTGATGTTCCATTGGATCTTTGACATAATCTTCAACGGGAGCATCAGCAGCAGGAGGACAGGGACTAACAAAACGTGGGCAGGCAAAGAGGAAGAACGATTTGAATACATCCAAGTCACCACATTGCATCTTGAACATGGCATCGTGATAGTTCTTTTCACGCAACACCTGCTGTATAGACTCATCAATACACTGTGGATGCAAGACCAAACAAATGGCCAACAAATGATACATTTGTTCAGCTTGTTTGTTGATCTGATCATTTTGGTATGAACGTGTACTGTACAATTGCTTGGTACGTTGGATGTACAACAGAATTTCGGAGAATGTGCGAATAGCATCAGCATAACGGCGCATCATCATGTAGGCAAATCCAACATAGTATGATGTAGAAATCTGGCATGCAGGGATGTGGGAATATTGGGATTTCTTGTGAATTTCAATTGGTTCCAAGACCTTGATGGCTTGATAGTAGTCACCCAATAGAGAATGGACACGCAACAATCCAACCAATGAGAAGTAACCCAACATTTTGTAGAATGATAATTCACCAAATTCTCCGGCAACAGCCTGGGGATCGTTACCCTGAGAGATGGCTTCCAATTGTTTTTTAATATTGGAGATATCTACCAAGGAATGTAAGACGTTGAGGATGCACAAAATACTCCAAACATTGCTGTGGTTAACACACAATTCATGGATTTCTTCTTGGGTTTTGTCGGTCAGACGAGCTCTAAAATAAAATAAACAACATATTAGATTTGTAAGATCAAATGAAAAGCTGTAAAATTTTAAAAGTAACTGAATTACTTTTGGTAACAAGCTGGAAGCTTTGCATGCAATTTGCGGAACGTTCAAAACGAAAATAACGCCGTCTCATTTGTACATAGTCTATGGACTCACCTGTATTGAGCGAAATTCTGGAACTGATAAACAAACTCATCAACCAATTCCCACAACCAAATGTCGGGTAGTTCCAACAAAACTGGACTTTGTGAAGAGATAATTAAATTGAAGAAATCACAATAGTTGAAGAACGAATTGATGCGTTGTTCCAACTTGGGTCCACCAGGAATGCGTGCATGGATGTGACGATAGTACAATTCCTTGTAAAGAATCAAGAACAAATTGTCATTGTCAACCAAGGCGGCTACTTGTTCCTCATCAGGCCAGGCAGACTTATCAAAGTGATGATCACTAATTTGTGGAAAGGTATTCTCGTACATGTTCTGGATGTCAAACAAGACGCCGTCTTTCACAGCTTGGCAAAAGTTGAGCAGGAAATATTTCACATTTTCCGGCATGCGATAGTAGTTATTGCGTTCATAGGCCAGATCCAATTGTGGATCTCCAGTATGGGCGTACTCATCATAGTATTCCTACAAATACAAAAAAATGCACACACAAATGAATGTCATATGTTAGGTTATGTTTACGGCAAAAATAATTTTTTGCAAACGTAAATAAACTTGAAGTCCTTAGAGAATAACGGAAGATTTTTATATACACCGAACATACCACATTGCCATAATCTTCTCCAGCATACATTTTGAAGTTATTTATAATATTTACTGCAAATTTTATAGAAATTCCACGCAAATGACAGTAACACGCCAACAATGATTTCTGGCAGAAATCTCAGAGAGCCAGGGATTGGCAGATCGACTAATATGACATATTAAACAAGAGTCGCCATATTGTTCGTACAACAATTATTTGAGATTAGTGGCAATCCAAAGCAAAACAATTGTCAAATTGTGTACAGCATTATCGATATTTGTGTAAACAAAAGTCAGCTGTTACAAAAAAATAATCTTTTTTGACATTTACTTCAGTCGAATCGCTTATATACACAACACTCTGTTATATACTTCGAAAACAAGTAAATTCATTTAACAAATAAAACAAATTTCCCAGACAATGGCAGACAATGAAACAGAGAATACACCAACAGCCTCCGCGGAAAAGGATAACAAAAGTAAGCATGATTGTTTGTAAGTGAAATTCTACGACAGTTCTTACAAACTTACAGAGATAAGCTCGTATGCAAGAAGTCGACGATGAATAGTATTTTGCAAAGTATCTAATTTTATTGTAGCATCTAGTCATCAACTATGCACTATTTTGTAAGGATGCAGAGTCGGAGATCGCATTGGAATCCTGGATGTTGTTTTGAAATGACTCGGAATAGCTGTGGAAAACTTCTTTGCTTACAGCTACCATCTGAAATTGGGGTTTGTCATCTGCTGTTATAGGTACTCAAGTTATGAGAAACAAACTCCCTATATTGCGATTGATTGGCCCAACTTAACACTTCCTCTAAAATGGGAAAATTTTAGTCAAATCGATTAAAAACACTGGAGAACCTATAATACTAATATCAGCTGAAAATATGACTAATACCCTCCACAGCCTGTACCCATATAATTTGTGCAAGAGCGTCTTTTCTCAATAGAAATTGAAAAATGTTAAATGAAAGTGATAGCCTAGGCTTATGAAGGCTAAGCAAATACCAGATGTATATTGAACATATTTGTAATACGAAATGTCAAACTACATCTTTGTTACTACGTTTTGTTTTCCATGCATATGCCCGAGACTGTTTTTTTAAGTATTTTATTTTAAAGCTGAAGATTATTGCGACCAATGTGATATTATTGTGACTTCTCTTATATTTTTTTATATATATCTTTCCAGTTTGCATTTTACTAAACGCTACTGGAAACGTACCCATTATTAAGAAGCGTTCGTGGACTGTGGATCCTTACAAAACAGTTAGTTGGATTCAAAAGTTTATACATAAGTACCTTAAGCTAGATCCGTCGGAACAAATTGTAAGTTTGTAGAAAATAATTATACCATTTATTTAAATAATCTAAATAATATTTTTATTGTTGCAGTTTCTTTATGTTAATCAAACTTTTGCTCCCGCTCCCGACCAAATAATAAAAAATTTATACGACTGCCATGGCACAAATGGCAAATTAGTTTTATATTATTGCAAAAATCAAGCTTGGGGCTAATTTGTTTGATGGACAAAATTTTGGCATTTGTTTGAGCATCGTCTCAGACAGTGAATAGTCGGTCACTTATTAGACAAGAAAGTCATATTTTTATATACCTATATAATTTGTATTTATTTAAGATAATTGTATATGCTTTAACTCATATAAGTTAATAAAGATTTGTGGAAACCGATTTCAAGTAAGAAGTTTTTCCCGCATATATGGGAAATATTTGCCTGGAACTTTTTCTTTTCCTTTTTTCATATTCAGTACAGTGTTAGCATTTAATTTGGGACACCATATTTATTTTTGTTGTTAATCAACAAAAGTACAATATTTCTTTTTAATTTAGTATTCAATCGGCCTACAAGTTATCGTTCCTTTACTTTATAGAATGGTAAAAGTTAGAAAATTTTTATCCACTGCTCTACTTTCGAACTGCATTGTGATTTTCTGATTCTTTTCTGTTTATTGAACGTAAAGGGAGTTTCAGAGTTTTACATTCCTTTAATTTTTACTTTTTGGCTCTCCTCTTCTCTCTTTATTGCTATAGGAAGAAATTGCTTTACTATCACATTTCTCACACGTTTTTATTTATAAAGGCAATGTATTTTCGAATGAAACAATTAACGGTCCTTAATTTCAACTAATTGATATTAATGTTTTATTCTGCTTTTTAAAACAGCACTATTCTAGTATTGGTAGTTTTAATTTTCACCACGAATTTCAGCCAATGCATCAGCAGATTCCTTAGAAATCCTATGGTACTTGGCAATTGCTGGTCTATAGTAATAGGCTTGATAATCATTGCGTTCGGACATTTTAGCACGGATTTGTTCTTCCAAATTTCTGCAAAATAAAAAAATATATATTAATTTATATGTTTTCGTGCCCAATAAAAATTATTTACCTGAGTTTAGCTTTTTCATCTTCCTCATAGAGATAATGCAAAGACTTCTCATATTCCTGTTGTGGATTGGTCAAGAAGTAACGGGCAATGAAACGGGAAATTGGATGCTAGTAAAAATAAAAAGACAAATATTAGAAAAAAAAAGTTGATGGCAATACAAATAATTAAGGGTTTTAATCGAAAAAAATCACTAAAATATTTGAGGCTTAGATAAACATAATTGTCGTTGTTGGGAGCGACGAAATGCTACAGTTGTAACATCATCGCCGGTGACAAGAATGAATGTTTGTGTATTAACTTTTTCCAAAAAGAAAATTTATGGTTTTGACATAGAGGTTCTCAAGGAACAATTCGATTTATCGCTCTGTGATTGAAAAAGGCTCCCCAACAAATTATCTTGTAAATATAACCTGATTTCGATGCTCTCGAAGGTGTAAGGAATGTTGTCTTTGTCACGCTTGGAATACTCAGATGGAAACCAGAAGAGTAAACTAACAACTGTTATACTCTGGTTTACTTACAAGAATTTATAAAAAGTTATTGTAAAAAGTCTGTAACATTCTCTGACTTACTTTGTGGTATTCCCAATATTTTGGTTCATAGCCTTCGGGGATTTCATGCAATTGAGCGGGACCGACGAAGATATTGCTGTACAAGACAATACCGGTGATGGGCAAAACACCCAACATTACATAGAAGTGCAATAGATCCTTGAATTTGTTCCACTGGAATCGGGAAGGTTGTACAATCATGTGATGATGACCACCGCTCATCTGACGCAATTGTTGCTGGACAGCTAAAAAAGAAACCAAAAGTTTTATGGGCATATTGGAAAATGTTTTGATTCCCCATCAAGTTGCGTAATGGCACTTGCAGTTCCTTTTCTTTTTGTTTTCCTTGGAACATTTAATGAAGCTTACCATTCTGTACAACAGGCGATTGCAAAATTGCACGATATTTGGCGAATTGAGCCGCTGGACGCACAAAACTACTCCAACCGACCATATTTTTGGATTTTATCACCGAGAAACGTGAAAATGAAATAGTTTTTATTTTGCTGGGCGAACAACAACTGACAGAACTCGCAATGACATTTCAGATGTCAAAATGGAGTAAAAGAAGATAGATGTCGATAATGCAGTTACACAAAAATTCATTGGATTGAATAATGGTAGAAGAATACAGGTAGATGCATGAACACTCGCGAACATTGATATGTCAAAAAAATATTGAAAATTATCTCCAAAAACAAATTAATTTTAAAAGATTTTCTTATATGAAGACGTTCAGAGGTTGGTATATGTAATTTTCAACAAATTCAAAAAAAAAATCATTCAAAATTTGGAATTCCAAAAATGTTTGACAGCTCATTGTACCAGCAGCTGTACGTTTCGTTTTATCATGGATGGAACGTGCACCACTCATATTAGAAGAATACAGGTAGTCGCATCGACACAGCTGCTGGGACAAAGAACTGTCAAACTGATTTTAAAATTAGAAATGTTGAATGAAAAATTATTGAAAATTGCAAAAGTTGTTGATCCGATTTGCATCGTATAAGAAAACATTTATAAATCTACTTATTTTTGACAAAACATTTTAAAATTTTTGACATTTCAATGTTCCCAAGCTTTTATGCATGTATTTATTATATGGTAGAGTTAGAATGATAAAGTTATCCAATCATATGCTTAATTTTTTGTCAAAATTATTCATTTGACAACATCTCATTGTCAAGTGATAGATGGGAACTTGCTTTCTCAGCATTGAAATTAGACAAGGTAAATTACAGAAAATGCAACATGAAATGATTTGCCTTCTTAATTTTACTATTTTCAAAACCAATGATTTGAATAAGATTACTTTGCGGGACGCATATTAAAGTTATTAACTAGTTATGCCATAAAATTTAAAGTATTAGCAGTTTAGATCATATTTTTATAAAGAAAGAAAATCCAGGTATTTCATTTTCGCGCTATTTAACTCATCGCGTTTTTTTAAACAATCTGGTATAAAACATTTTTATTTGTCAATAATCATACCGAATAATTTTAGTGTTTTCTATATATATAACAAAATAAGACACAACTGGGTAAATGTGTTAGTGAATAAACATCTTGAAGTTTTCGCAAGGCATATTTTGTGACATATCATAAAGGAATTCCTGAGCCGCATTCGAATTCTGCCCTCGTTTCCCTTTACAATTTGATCTTAAAAGTAAACTTTTTAGAAATAACAATAATATCACACCATCTGTGACTAATCTTTGCCAATGAGATGTTCTAAAAGATATAATAAAAAAAATGTAAACATATAATCGCACAAGGTTAGCTTCTTTCGAGTATAACATGTGTTTGACCATTTCTAAAAAAATATTTCTCCTAATCATGGTGCCCCCTCTGAAAATTAATAAAAACTATATTTAAGTTGAAACCTTGAAAAGTTCTCAGTCCGTGTTTTCAAGTGGTTCTTCTATCATGAAGTAACCAATACCCATTATTAGTGCTGCCTGAGTGCCATCTAGGGAGCAAACGTGACTCAATAATGCTAGTCCCACGGTTCATTTAATGAATGTGTCCAGTTTTCCTGATGTCTCATTCGTAAACAACAGAGGTCCCTCGGGTTATGCATTCCACTCATTCGTAAACAACAGAGGTCCCTCGGGGATTTTGCTTTCTCGTTCTTTTTTATCGGGCATTTCTTTTTGATTTCTTATTTGTTCCGTTGGGGACGTGTTTCATTTTGGTTTCCCACGCGTTCATTCGATTTGCTCTTCACAACCGAACAAAGCGCGCGCACAAGCAGATTGGTTTGGTTGGTTGGTTTTTGTGAGTTTTGTGAAATTGGAAATTGGAAGGAATTGGACACATTGGACATTGGTTGAACCAACCTATATTGGAAAGCATAAGCTATAAGACACAGTGAGTATTTTGAGATTTTAGAAGGTATTTGGCATCTAGCTTAACCTACAGTTAATGTATACTTCTAAGGATTTGGCTGGAAAAAAGGATCAGGGATCACGTACGTACAGGTACGTGAACCTATATTGACATTTTTGAAATGTATTTAGTCTTTACGTTAAAGACTAAACGACCAGCAAAGCGGAATCTATGCTGCAACAGTTTTTGCTGCAATGGCGGTTTTTGCATTGGCAACATTGCCATGGCATCTGTCCTTCAAGCTGACTTGAGTAATTAAGGGTCCTTTCTCATAGAATGCCCGCGCTGTTTCGACATCATCTATTCAGTTTCGCCACCATATAATTCGGTACTTTGTGCTGTAAGTGTGAAGTTAAGGGAGGTGTTTTGTAGAGCAGTCGTTGAGGAAGGTGCTGTCGTGAAGGTGAATACACCGTAAGAAATATTAGATTAATTCGCTTGAAGGAAGACCTTATAATTGGGCCATGTCGTGCATTCTATTTGCCTTCTTAGGGTCGTTTTTTATTTTGGTTTTCGACATTTCTCACAGGTTGCAACAGTCTGGAAGACTGGTAAGGTAAGTTGTTTGTGCCGCAATTCTCTGCTACGACCCGGAAAGTAAATTTCTGGTGATATTTCAAAGTGTATTTTGTATTACATTAGATAATTATTCAATTTTTATGTATAGATATGGCACCTATGCATCTATATTTCAAAACACTGTTGTTACTTAATCATGAATTTCCTGTTTGTTTCTAGAATCTGCAGAACTACGCTTTCCAGTAATTTAATTACACCATGACATCGCGTTTACGTCACTTGAACCCGAAGAAAACTCTGTTCTTGTTGTGTGATATACAGGAAAAGTTTCGTCCTGGAATGCCACTATTTTCTAATGCCGTGGTGAATGCATCGAAATTGGTAAATATTTGACCTTGAATTGTCATAGTACAAATATTGAGTCGATTTTTGTTTTAGACAAAAGCCGGCAAAGAGTTGAACATACCTTTGATCTGTACCGAACATTATCCAGAAAGATTAGGGAAAATTGTTTCAGACATCGACGTTAGTCATGCAAAGGCAGTATTTCCAAAAACTCGATTCAGCATGATTATACCCGAATTGGAGGCCAAAGTGAAGGAAATTTTTGGTGATAAACCCGATGATGTTGTGCTCTATGGATTAGAGGTACCTTCAAGACATATTTGTTATAATTTTTTAATTATATATATTTTTATTCATTGTAGTCTCATATATGTGTTGAGCAAACCGCTATTGATCTATTGGAAAAGAAAATCAATGTATTCCTTGTTGCGGATTGTTTAATTTCTCGCCTTAATCAGGATCGTGATTTGGCCATAGAAAGATTGCGCAATGCCGGTTGCGTTGTAACAACAAGTGAAAGCGTTATTTTTGATTTGATGGGTGATAAGAATCATCCTAAATTTGATGTGGTTCGTAAATTTGTTAATACGCCCTCAGCCGATATGCAATTGGCCAAAGCTGCAAAGCTATAAAATGAGTTGAAAGTGCCTTTCTGTAATGGATTCCGGTCGAACATTATAAATATATAATTTAATCATTGGAGTGCCAAACCCTTTTTTTGTATGACAACCAAACCTATACATATTAAAGAGATGCTATTTGTTTTAAACATTTGTATAAAGTGATGTAAAAGTTAAACGAGTATATATTATTGCATTTATAATTCGATTATATAAAATTAAATATACACATTCATATGGTAAATCCATTGTATTTTTTGTATAACACACAAATATCTGTTTCTTCTGGAAACCAGAGAATATATGGCCCGAAATGAGCTTTACAAATAGTTGAATTGAGAACTTTTATATTTGTAAATGAAATAATGATGCAATGGAAAATTTTCTAGTTTCATGGAATAAGAAATTAACCTCTTTTTTTTAAATTTCGTCTTCGGTTGATGTTTCTGTATTTTCAATATAATTGTTTATGACTATAAGAAAAAAGAGAACATTTTAAGAAATGTTGGAATCTTCGATCAGTTCAGTAGATGCAGTGAAATTCTGATAATCTTTGCGATTGATGATTTTAGCGACATATATCGGAATTGTTTCAAATTTATGGATATACAACCTATGACAAAAAATTACTTAGTCAGGTCCACGTTTTCGTATGGCCACCATATAACGATACCTCGCGATATTCGCTATAGACTGGAATTGTTTCAAATTTAAATTTTTTGTTAATTTGCTGTTACGTTCTTCCTTATATTTCTTTCTTTATGTATCTGTCTTAGCTTTATAGTTTTCATTGTGACTTCATTGATTGTTCCCACTCGTATTTATAATTATGGCTCCCTTTGTTATTTAAGACAATTCGTTGGTTTTTGTATGAGCTGACGAATGGTCGTGCGTAATGTCCAAAAGTCGTTGTAATTGTTTTTCGATACAATTTAACAGTAGATTTGTGTCGATCTAGTTCTGTTCTGTACACCAGTTCCTAATCGTATGAGTAGTTTCATAAATTTCATATCACTCATACGCAGAGTTCATACAAACGACCTGAGTCCACGGAACTAGATAATTAGCACAACTCTATTTAACGGACAAACTAGTTTATGATAAACAAACGGCGATCGAAACGGCGGGTTCACATTGTTTCCTTAACTGCAACGTTGTTAGAGTCATGGTACAATGAAATCAATGTTGAGCAGAACTACCATATGATTTTAATTTTTTTATTTTCTTGTCCTAACATGTGAACTTATGTACGCGTTTACAATCCTTACAGGTAGACCTCGTCAAGTGCAACTTTTTCCAAGTTAGCCTACCTTGTCTTCATTTTACCGTGGGTCTCACCATCTATGTCCAAATATTTGTAAATGTAAATGGAACTTTTTGGTTGGTCAACTCATGGGCCACATTAGTGCTAGTCCCTCAGTTCATTTAATGAATATGCCCAGCTTATTGCGTTTTCTCATGTCTCATTCGTAAACAACAGAGGTACTCGGGGATATTGCTTTGTTTTTTTACCATCTTATTCTTATTTCATTCTTTAGGGACGTTTTTTATTTTGGTTTCCGACGACATTGGTTTCCATCCTAAACTATTGCAACACGTGTGAAAAATTAAAAACAAAACTAAAGTTAAAAACACTTAAAAAGTTGAAAAAGTTGCATAAAATGAGTAAAAAATTATTTGATGATAGCGATGACAACGCAGAGGATCATTTTCAATTGAATACAAATGAAGGATATGCTAAAACCTATAATCAGTTGAGGAAAAAGGAGCTTCTCCAAAAATGTAGGCGCAGCGACACACTTCAAACATAAATAATTTCATTTTTGATTTTTCCCCGCAGTTAAAGACAAAGGTATCAGTGAGTCTGACTCGGAATCGTCCAGTGACTCTGATTCTTCAGAGGAGGATGAAGTTTTGGATCCCACATTCGATCAGGAGTTTTTAAGCACATTGGCCTCATTGAAAAGTAAAGATCCCAAAATTTACGATAAGGGAGTCAAATTTTTCGAGAAAGTCAATAAACAAATCGAGGCGGGGAATTCAGATGACGGTGGTGATGATTCCGAGGACGGTAAACAAAAAAGCAAAGAAAAGAAAACCAAACCAGTTACATTGAAGGATTATGAAAGACAAATTATTTTGGAAAAGGGTGGAAAATTCGTAGATGGTAAGTTTAATTTATGTTAAAGATTAAATCAAAACATAATATGTTTTTATTGACAGATTCAGATGAAGAAGACGTTGATAATGGAGATTACCCCCGTTCAGCATCTCCTACCCTAGTGGAAGAGGAACGTCACCTAAAGGAAGAATTCAAAAAAGTTGTAAATGCTGATGATTCTGGTGATGAAGAATTTGGTGGTATTTTTAAGAAACGTGAGAAAACTAAAGCCGAAGAAGATAAGGAAGAAGAGGACTATTTGAAATGGCTGGCTGGCAAAAAGGATACCATAGAGAAAGAGGCACAAGAAAAATTAAAGCCGCTTAAAAAATATTGGAATAGTGACAGTTTACCATCAAGTGAAAAATTTTTGCGAGACTATATATTGAATAAGGGTTATACCGAAGCAAGTAATTACGCCGAAATACCAACATATGAAGAAATCGTTGGTGACAATGCCCCACTTTCTGAGGACGAACAGGAGTTGGAGAAACAAGCTGAATTTGAACACAAATTTAATTTCCGGTTTGAAGATCCTGATCAAGAGTTCATCAAAAGATATCCCCGCACTGTGGAGTCGTCAGTTAGACGAACGGATGATAAACGTAAGCAGAAACGACAGGAAGTTAAAGAACGGAAACAACAAGAGAAACAGGAAAAGATGAAAGAAATCGAAATGATAAAAGAAATGAAACGGAAAGAAATTCAAGATAAAATTGAAAAACTAAAAAAGGTAACGGGAAATGATGAACTTGGTTTTAAGGATGATGATTTAGATGAGGAGTTCGATCCTGAAGCCCATGATCGTCGTATGCGGGAGCTTTTCAATGATGATTACTATCAAGTCGATGAGGGAGAAGAAAAACCAGAGTGTCCCTCAGACATAGAGGAGTTGAAAATAGAAGATTGGGACAATTACGATCCACAAGAAGATTGGGAAGGTGGTGATGAGGAAGACTATGAGCCCCACTGTGAAGATGATGACTTTAATATGGATTGCGATTATGATCCGGCCAAGGCCAAAGAACAGTTACAAAAAGAGTTAATTGAAAACACTAAAACTCGTAAAGGACGCAAAGGTCGGCGTGATCGTTTTATGGCCATGATTAAAGCTGAAAAACCAGTGTTCGATCCAGAAGATGAGAAAACATATGAAGAATATATTGATGAATATTATAAATTGGATTGCGAGGATATTATTGGAGATCTTCCATGCCGTTTCAAGTACGTGGAAACAACGCCTAATGATTTTGGTTTGTCCATAGAGGAGGTATGTAAATATATTATTGTTAATGGACGATTTTACTAAAATTTCCTTTTTGCAGATTCTTCTGGCCAAAAACAAAGAACTCAACCAATGGGCTAGTTTAAAAAAGGCCATTCAAATAAGACCCGAACAAGTAGAGAAGAAAGAGCAAAGATTGTACAAACTTAAGGCCAAAAATGAAGACCTCAAGAGGAAAATTTTTAAAAGCTTATACGGAGAAGGGTATGATAGGTAAAAAAATAGTAAATGATTTACGTAACTTGTTCATCTTCTAGATCCGATAATGAGGGCGAGGACGAAGTTAAAAATGAAACAGAAACTAAATCGGAAACAAATCCTGACAATAATACAACGAGTTCAAAAACTACTAATGAAACGTCTGAAACGATAAAGAACAAAAGGAAAAGGAAACGTAAGGGTCAAAATGCTGCACAAGTTTCAGATACGACGGCTACAACAACAGTAGATAACACTAATAAGGATCCAGTCAAAACTATTAATGCAAGTGAGGGCGAACCCATTGAGAAAAAGGCTAAAACGGAAGAAGGATCAGAAAGAAATACTTCGATAGTAAAACAAACTGATGACAATCCAGTCGTCAAGAAGAAAAGAAACAAAAAGAAGAAAAATTCTCAAGTTGGAGATGATCAGGTCGACAAGTCAATTGACAACAAACAACAAGATAAACCACAAAGCCATATAGCGAAGCCACAACACCCGAAAGAAACTGTTAAACAAAAAAACACTTCTGCCAATAGCACTCCACCAAAGAAGTCAAACAATCCATTCTCCAGCAAAAATAATGCACAAGTCTTTCAAAATAAAAATAAAATGGCACAGTCTAAGGGTAATCCATTTAATAGTACACAAAATAAGTCAACAAATGGAACTTTACCGCCGTTGAGGCAAAATCAAAAGAAATCAAAACCATTTAATGCAAAATTTGGTAGCAACAAAAGGCCGTTTAACGCCAAGCCAAATGGTGTCAAAGATTCAAATGACAAATCCAACAATATAACTGATGAACGTTTGAAAGCGTATGGCATTAACCCTAAAAAATTCCATAAGAAACAAAAATATGGTGGGGTTAATAAACAACAGAAACAAAACTAAATTTTATTAGTTTTTCCTTTGTTAAATGAATGTTTGTAAATGTTACTAGTTTAGTTATTTTACAAAAAGTGTAAATAATAAAAAAAATATTTTTATATAAAAATTATTTGATTTAGCAGCATATAACAAAAGTACCAACTCAAAATCGACCGATTGTAAGGAACTCAACAGAGAACACAAATGTTATTATTTTGGGAATAGAATAATCAATTCATACTTAAAAGACTGCGCCTGAGGAAGACGTTCATCATTTAGGGTGCAATACATTTAGAAACGTACATAAAAAAGTCTGACAAAACTATATAATGGTGGAAATTATGACGTTCTATCTGGTCGCCCCAGAATTCTCTGAAATCTCAATTAATCTCTTTAAACATTTTTTTATTCCAAATAAGGTATTACGCAAACTTCTTTAACGCTAAAGCTCAACTCCTTAGCTATCACATTACTAAATTCTGTAAATTGCATCATCTAGAAGCTTTAAACAGAACCTGGTGCCAAATTCTCGCATTCTTTCGATCGAAATTAAACATTTTTGCGATTTTTAGATTGATTAAATTAAACATTTTGATAGAAACGACTTCCGTCTAACTATAACATTCAATATTTAGTTGGTTCCATCGAAAGGATCAAATCAATGAACTAAAATGAATGTGCATTCATATCATTTAAATCGATTTTTTTCGATATTGAATACAAGAATTTGACCCCTGCTCGTTGGACTTCCAAGTTTATATGGTCGTAATTTCGTATATTAGAACTAGCTCCATTTTGACACAAACTGCTGCAACTATTCTTTTCTCTCTATATATTTATTCCCATCGTAATCTCTTACAAAAAGACAAAGTAAAATATTTTATATATTTTTTATTTGTAAATAAACAAATACATAGGCATTAGAAAAGAAAATAATTTGTAACATATATTTTAAAATTCATAACGATATTTGTATTATTGTGTGTTTGGCGTATTTATATGGTGTAATTAAAATTGGGTTAATGGAAATCGTGTGTGGGAAGTTGGCAACATAAAATTGAAAGAAAACAAACTAGTAATATTTTTAAGTACGTTTTCAAATAGAAAACATTACGAACATACATTCGTTTTAATATTAGCAAATAATATAAAGAAATATAAAATTTCAATTAATGGTGTATAATAATCATCAAAATAGATTGATTTTCTTTTCCAATTGATATAAATCGACTAAAACCCTCCTGAAAAAAGAGGATTTGAGGGTGTATTTTTTATATATATGTACATACTTAATTAAATTTAGACATAAATACATGTGTTTATTTAACTATGAACTGAAAATAAAAATGTTCAATAAGCAATGGATACATGTTGTCGGTAATAAACATTAGCCTGAAGCCTTGACAACAAATATCCAATAAAAATTAAGTAATGAATCTAAATGTTCTTTTATTTATTCATGACCTAGCATATCTTCATGTGGACAACTTTGGCACTATATATTTCAAAGTCATGCAAAACATTATTTGTGATTTTGAATTCTCCAAATAGATGGCCGCGTAAAAGTGTAAAAATGCCAATTTGTTGTATGTAGTAATATATGAAAATTTAAAAAAAATTTCCTACAAATAGTGGCAATATGTGCCTATCTTTTGGCAAACAAAATGAGGAAACTGTGCAGAACAGAGTCCATGAATCGAACATAGAATTTCTTTCTTACATTTCATTGTAAAAATAAAAGAAAGTATTCCTTATACTTAGTAGTATAAAGAAACCTCATTATATTTTAGTTTATCAAGAAAACGCATTCCCAGTTTGTTATTAATAATAATTGCTCTGCACATGCTCTAATCTGTTCTGCCAAATTTTAATTGGAATTGCAAATATTGCCCAGCAAAAATTACAGCTCTTTAAATCAATCCAAAGGCGATTGTTTGGTATTGGCGACCCCATACAAAAAGGTTCATCGTAAACCTATTGAACAGTAAGAATGAAAGTAACCACATATGACAAAAAGAAATCAATTCATTATTTCATCATTCATCCTAATCATCCCTTCTTATTTTATTATTTTAAAAATATTCTTACTATTCTAAAAATTATTTTTGTAGTTTTGTGTTTCATTTTTTTCATATTTAATTGTTTGTTGCTTTGTTTACTACTTTTAACAATTTTCTTCCATTTCTCTAGTAAAAGAATAATAAACGTTCTTGAGCCGAGGTCGACAGAAGACGCCAAGTTCTCTTAATACTAACGTATTGTATCAAAGCCCGGACACAAATCAAGAAACCAAAAGCCATTATTAACCACCAGAGCCATGAGTTTTCGTGCGACGCCAAATCCGTAGAATGCTTAACAATTAAGGTCCATTTTGCTAGCGATAAACCAAACCCTGATAGAGCACCATAACGTGCCGCAATGGTATGACAGAAGCAGGTCAGCATCAAAAAACCAATCCAATTGAATAGAAATGCCACCATAAAAGCTGTGATGAACATTATATCGGTACCAAGTAAATTGTTATCTGTGGAATTTGTTAAATTTTCCGCCTCCGAAGCGTCGATGGCTATAAAAGTCAAACCACTGCCAGGACCACCGCCTGTGGAGGCATTTGTATCGCGCAAATTTGCCAACAAAGGATTTGGTGGTGGGGGTGGCGCTAGTGGCAGTGGTGGTTGTAGTGTGTGTGTTGTCAAAAAGCCTGGAGGCAATTCCCCGTTCAAAGATTTTTCCATTTGTACCTCTTCATAGGTTGGTAATTTCCCATGATGTATGGGTATCTCTGCTGGTAATGTAGTTTGTTGTTGTAGATTTTGTTGATTCAACTCCAACTGTTGCTGCTGTTGTTGAAGATTAACATGACTATTGGTCAGTTCGTATGGTGGTGGAGCACTAAAATCTGCTTTTGGCGGACCCAAATCTGAGTCGGGCGGTCCTTGATTATTATCCGACATATTTTGATGAGGTTATTGATAATTTTGTTTAACTGAAATTAGAAATTAAAAAAAAAAATAAATTTTTAACACATTTAATGTATAAAAAATAATTAAATTAGGGCGCGAATCGTGGATATTTAAGCATGTATTTCAAGAGCTCAAGATTATATGTTTTCAGAGACACCAATCCGGAAACGGAAACAATCTAGGCCGCATCTTAAATAATAAAGGAAAAGAGCTTAAATTTAAGAATTGTTTCATAAAAACTGAAAACACTATGGATTTTTAACATTTTTTCAGTTTCGTAAAGTTATCAAAAACTTTTTGTTGGATTGGATTTTTTTAAAGTTAGTTTTTGTTGATATTTTCAAAAAGGTAATTTTTTAGGGATCTTTTAAAAACATTTATATAAGGTAGATTTCTTAAAAAAAATATTTAAGTTAAAAAATTATATTTTGAGGACACAAGAGGCGAAACCGTGGATATACAGGGTGAGATAAAAAATTTTAACAAAGTCAAACGCCATAATTTTTACATTTTTTAATTTTATTGAATGAAAGCAAAGTGCGATGGTGCTGAGTCCTGCTGGAATTTCCAAGGTCTGCGGCTAAAATGTTTGCGTGCACAAGGCTTTAATACACAACACTCCAGAATAGTTTCGCGATAATATTTATTCTGATGCCACGGTCGATTAATACGAGCGGAGAGCGACCATCGGCAAACACGATCATTTTGTTTGTTTACAAACTGCTGGACAACGAATGTTTTCTCATCTGAGAAAACCAAATTCGGCAGTTCACCACATTCACCAAGAATTTCAATTTCAATATTTGCCGAATGGAATATTGCGATGTGTTCAGCTCACGAGCCATTTTTCAGCCACTGCGACACGAGTTTCGAGCAAGTCGCTTCTTTACTTTTCGAACCATTTCTGCTGATGTTGCTGTTTTCTTGCGTCCACTTCCTTGACGTCGGGCTACGCTACCAGTAACACGGTAACCAGCAATGGTACGAGACACAAAAGAGTGATCTAACGATAGCCACTTGTGGTTTTCCAGCCAAATATAAAGAAATCACACTATCACGCTTAAATTCCATCACGAATAACTTTTTTCTGGAGAATTCTCACCAAAATTCTTTTGTACGCTTGTAAACAATATAATGAGCTGGTACTGGAATAATTTTAACAGCCGTCGGACGAGTGGCTTAGAAGTGACAGCAGTCTGAAGTTGGTTGTAGTTTTTTCATATTACCCTGTATAAAACCGATTGTTTGCAAACGTAGCTACAATTCTACGATATTTTCAAGTAAAAAAGTTGGTATTAGATTTGTAAGAAGTTGTACCCAAATCATTTTTGATAAATCTGTTTTAGCAGCCCTGCTATTGTTTCAAAATGGCAGGAGAGGAGACAGATATAGTCATTTCAGATTCAATAGATCCGAACAATGTACGAACGATTATTATAATTATTCAGTAATGAGATGTTTGGTGGGTTAAATTTTTAAAGTACTGTCTGTGCATCATCACTTTTTCCATTAGACGACTAAAATTACGTTGTTTTTATGAAAAATGTATTATAAGGAAATAACATTTTATACTCGCTTTATTTTTCATTCAATTTACTGAAAAGTAGTATTTGGGACAAACATACAATATTTGTTAGTTATATGTTTTATGCTACACATTTATATGTTAGTTTCTTATCGTATAGTGATAAATAGTATTATGATAAATAAATTAAAATAAATATTTCGTTGTTCGGTAAGAGAAAATATAGGCGGCAAGACTAATTCCAATAGGAAATTAGACATATGTTCAATACTATGGGTGTTTGGCAAATACAGTGGAGGTTCGTCTAAAAACTATAATAACAAGGAGACAAAATAACTGCTCAGATTGTTTTAAATACTTTTGTTGTGGAATAGGTTGGAGGAAATTTATGCAAATCGTTGTCGTTATGGAACAAAGTACCATTTGTGAACGATTTTTATTTTTTGCTGTTTTTTTATTATTAAATTATTACAAATAGGATTTTGGGTCATATAACAATAGCGACGACAGGACATATATTCATTAAATGAAACACCAAAAATACAAAATAAATTTAATATTGTCAATAAAATATGTCTCTATATAAAGATAAAATATTTTTTAGCCGTCTTGGCTCCTCTGTGGCTGGGTCAATAATCATTTCAAAAAAAACATAAAACTTTTTAAAACAAATATGTGCTTGAAATGCTCAACTAAAAATGGTGTACTTTAATTGTCATTTATTACATTATATACCAATTGGTTTTTTGTACAGCCAATTCTAATATATAGGACTCTGGCGTAGAAAAAGCGGAGGTGAAATATTTTGAATATTTCCTTAATTCTTAAATTTTTTTTGGATAAAATCTGTTGGTTTTTTAGTCTCGAATCCTAAGGCGGAATAAAAAAAGTTTTTTTTGGTAAAATTTAATTGACAATTAAATTTAATTTTAGAATTTAAAACGTGCACTTCATCAGTTTGTATGTGATCTATTTTATCTAGTTAGTTATAGGTTGCATTCGAAATACTTCTATTTAATCAGTCCGGTATTTGAACTCTCTGCGCAAACCAAGCAATGGGATCTGCATTTAGTGGGAAAACAAAATTTAGGTTGGGTAAAAATGAGTTCTTCACTATTTTGACGACATTAAAGAGCATTGCAACGAATATTGCGCATTGGCGGGCTTTTTAGGGAAAAAGGTTTTCTATCTGTGATAGAAAGCCAAAAGATTTGTGTTCAAAATAAATAAAAAAACGTCATGGTCCAAAAACAACCCAATAACTAACGTCTACGCGAGAAAGAGGACTTTATACGAAATTCAACCAATAAATTACCGATTATAACCTTCTCCAATTTTTATCAAGAAATTATGATGTATATGTTTAAAATTATTTAAATCTATAAGTAATAACTAAAATAAAAAATCAACGTTTAAATGCCGATGACATTGGCAAAACAGCATAGTGGTGAGGTCCAAAGGGTCTCATTTCAGGGATTTTTGTTATACCATCTACTTCATCCATTGCAGCATTGTCATGAGCCATATTCACGCTTTCGTTCATTTTCATTTTTTGTTCATTCTCTCGCCGAATGTAGAGTGAAAAACATAAAACTAGCATAAATATCAATGCCAAGGTGGCTCCACTTGCTATGCTAGCCGTCTCCAACATGGCACGTTGTCTAGTTGGCAAATAGCTACCATCGATTTCTTTGTACTCACAACGTGGTCCCATATAACCACTTGCACACTCGCAATTATACAAAACCTCATTATGGATTTCAACTTTAAAGCATGTGGCTTCATTCAAGCAATACCAGGCTGCATATGGTGGTGGACAATTCAATATGGGAAATGTTACATTGGGTCGTGGTGTTGTCGTTGATATCGTTATTGGAGTAGGTGTTGTAGGTCTGGGTTTTGGTGTACTACGACTGGTGCACGCTAGGCTCAAGGAAGTCATAAGCGACATAGTCAGCAAACACACGGAACATAGAAATTTTAAATCCATTTTTTAAAAATACAAATTTTCCTTTTTTTCGTCCAATATCAGAAATAATCCAACATTTTATTCCAGATGTTTTCGTTTGGGGTTTTTATTTTTCGTTTTATTAAAAAACCCCTGTGTGGCTGAAAATTAACATAAAAATTGTAAAATTAATTAAATGAAAAGAAAACAAAATAAAATTTTGTTATAATAAAATTAAACTTTATTAAAACTAAATTAATGTCAAATTAACAAAATTAGGTAATTGTAGGCAGCATATTGCGTTATAAAGCAGCTGTTACTTTTTCTATTCCCCCACATAATCCCAGTTCGAGCAGCAATTATTTTTATAAGATGCGTTTGCGTTTATACATATGTATGCCATTTTCGAGCGAGCGACCTATTAAAGAGAGTAACGTACGCATTCATTAATATTAATTTATACAGAACAAACAAAAGAAACTGTGCACAAACAAGTAACAATTTGGTATTTACCTTTCCGAGTGTAATGGATGTTTTTGGTGTAAACATTTTGTTGTATTCTTTCACTTTTAAAGGTGGAATATAAATTAAATCACTATTTTGCCCCAGCTCTTGAATATAATTTTATTAATACTTTAAGACATCGTAGTAATAAATGTTTGTAATAGCCGGAGATATTTTGTCATATTGTTTGCAACATATGCACTATTTTGTAAAGTTAAAGATTGGATTGTAAGAATCAAGATTTTAGGTTGACATAGAACAAACAGAGGCCAAACACTCGGGAAATTTGATCGAAATGAGAGTAACTGTTACAATTAAACTCTAGGATATTTAATTGTGCCTTCCAAAGATTTCCATTTAATAAAGAATAAAATTTGAAATTCATATTAATTTCTTGAATCGAAGTTTTTTTTAATATCGAATGCGAGAATTTTTCCTAGATACACCTAATTTTTACCGTATTTCTGTATATGAACTAGCTAGCTAGGCGGTAGCACCGATTTTTGAAATGTTGAGGAATTACATAGCACCTAAACTGTGGAAGGAGGAAAGGGTGGTTCACATTCCTAAAGCATCGGGATGTGCAAATCTCCCTGTTCTATTAGTCTCTCGAGCTTCCTATAAAACAGAAAAAAAAAACAAACACATGATTCTATTTTGTAGCCAATAGCAAAGATTCTTGAAGGTTTACTCCTCTCCGCATTAGAGCAAGCTATCCAGTTGCCGCTCATCAATACGCATTCCGTTCACTACAACAGCATTGCACAACATATCCACACATATTAGACGAGGACTAAACCAGAAAAAGTCGTGTCATACAACATTGTTACGTCACGTTGTTAAGGTATGTCGAGACTACTACCCTCAGGCCGAGATTGAAACTTTGGATAATCAAGTATATGTGTGGACGCCATTCGAACATAGGATTCTGGAACAAGAAGTAAAAACACAGTGGAGTGAAACAAAGAGATCCATAAGGAGCGGAATTCCTTTCCCTCCAGACGTCATTAAAATCGTAACTAATGCGGATGGTTGCACGTAAGGCTGAACAACTATATCGCGGAGCATTCTTCCACGCGAGAAATATGAAAACATCCGCCACTAAGTCAATGGACACACTGATAGCTACATGGACTGTGGAAATGAGAACACGAGGTCGAGAGAATATTTAATTTCGACTACGAACTACCTCAAGATCATAGGGGTCGCATTCGATACAAGTGGTGCGCGCAAGCCACAGCTATCTGAAAAGTAGCAGACAACGGGGTGCAACAATGCGATCGTTTGGTCTGTGGTCAGATGTACGGCCCAATGTGGGTAAATACAAGTACTTTCATTGTACCTCCTCATGACAACCAATGGCCCATCTACATGAGGCGAAGCATAACACCAGACGTATCAAAAGGATCTACACTCAACTAACTTCTTTCCAATAAAACTCCCTTTCATTTTCGTTTACTTCTCCCTGTATACGGATGTACAAAATAATCCAATTCAGTAGAAACAAATATGTTTTGTTCCAGAGCCTGCAAGAACTAGTAGATTCTTTACCAGTTATGAGTGTTCAACATTTACTCTTTTTCACACACACTATATTTTTTTAAGATACATAGAATATTACAATTTTATATAACACACAATTTACTTATCAAATGTATTAAAAAAAAAAACCATTATACCTACATGTACGACTCACACTATTTCAATGAAAACAAACTTTTTAATCTCTACAATCATAGATAACCAAAACAAAACTGATAATGTGCAAACAATAATAACGAAAACAAATGACAATTGTTTGCGCCATTGTGCATTGTATTTACAATTTGGGTACTTTTTTTAGAGATTTGCAACGATAACCACAATACTTCCCCCACCAAGCTATTCCTTTTTTTAATATTTCGTTAAACATCGTTATATATTATTATAAACGGGAAGGTTTTTCTAAGTCATATTTCATTTATTTCAAATGTAATTTTAGGCGATAAAACCTAGTTTTCAACAATAATTTATATGACATATTTATAAATATGACTAAACATTTTGAAAACAAAATCTCCATGTCCTAGGTACATTCAATTTTGCTTCTTATTGATACAGTAGATTCCTGTTTCTTTAGAGTTCATAACAAAATGTTCTAACTCTTTATATTTCTTTCAATAAGTAAGTTTTTCTTAAATTATTATTATTACAAAGTTGATTGAGGTGTGAGATAAGTCTTAAAAATAGCGAAGAGTTCTCGGTATTCATATACGTTGCAAAAAAATACAAATAAATTGTTATCACAAACGCCTGGGCATTTGGCAACAACCAATACAATTCTTACTAGTATGAATGAGTCCAAAAGTTGTTAACAATAACCGTGTGATTCATGTTACAAAAAAACTCAACACAAACGTTGTACAGGCATTCTATTCAATTGACATTGGAAAATTCAATTCATAGAAACAAAATTAAATAACTTTGGTATGAGCTATAGTATAAAAACAAAATGGAAAATTAAATTTTATTTTGTACCAACAATTCTTTACCTTTATTTGTTGTAGGTATTTTTCAACACATTACTCCATATATATATAAACTTAACAAATTGATTTTTAATACGGCCTACGATCAAATAATAATTTTGCTGCTTGAACACTGTTTGCATTGTTGCTGCCCATGCCGTAAAGCGACACACCTGTATCCGGTGTCACTGACGAACGTACTAAATCTCTAAGACTTTTCGAAAGTTTTGCTGTTCTTTTTAGGGAATCATTGTGTTTTTGTTTTGTTTCCACAAAATGTTGGGATCGGCAACGTTTACGAGATATCTCTTCTTTTAACTGTTCCCGTTTCAGTTTTTCGCTTAGCTGTATTTCACGCCAATGTTCTTCATGTTGTAATTGTTCAATGTAGTTGTCGTAACGTAAACGCTTGAGATAATTTTCCAATATTTCGTTGCGTATATGGTCGGCACGTTTCAGACGTTCTGTTAAGCGATGGCATATTTCACTTTTTTTCAACATTTCGTCGAGATTCAATTCTTCTTGATTAATATTAACATGTTCTGCTTTTCGTAATTCTTCACAGCGTTTCTGATTGACAGACAGTTCTTTTTCAATACGTAAATTTTGTAAACGTTTCTTGGCACGAGCATCTTTCTGTTGCAGACTTTCCCTAAGACGCTGCAGCTCGCATAAATCCCTTTGGGCAATTTCATTGAGACGGGCCTTCGTTTGTAGGTAATCTTGAAACTGTTTATCCCGTACTGCCTTTTTGTACTCCTCCATTTGCTCGCATTTTAATAGCTCTCGCTCGTATCGTTCATTTTCCCAGTATTTTCGTGCCAACCACGCATTTTCTTTTGAGACGGCTTGCTCATTGCGTTTAGTTGCCATTCGATTTAAAATCCGTTTATCATGTGCCGGTACCTTCTGATAGGCCTCTCTTACGCTAGGTACCAAACACAAATTGGCCATGGATTCTGAAAGCCTTATTGGGGCAAATGTTGTGGTGGTGGTGCTATCAAAATGATGTGAAGACATTATTTGCTGTTTCGACAATGTCAAAAGTGACGACGGTGGTGGAGGTGGTGTCTTGGAAGATCTCATATTTTTTTGGGCTGGATATTTTGAGACACCTTGAATATTTAGCTTAGACAGCTGTCTATCTTCTAGTGATGTTAACAGATTTTGAAGAATTTCACAGTCCCGTGTATAAAAATGTTCCGAACACTGACTTTGGCTACGAGTACAAACACTTTTAGAACGTTTCTTCGGTTTATGTTTTTTACGACCATTTTTTTCTTTGCATTGTTCTTGTTTTGTTACTTGCAAAGAAGATTCGGCATTTCCGTTTGGCAGTGTTATTGTGGTATCCTGTGGCTCATTGGGTTGTGTTACGGAAGCCCTGTCAATTTTGCTAATGTTAGTTTTCACATCGTCTGAGCTAGACAAGTGTTCATTTTGCCTTTGCAGGCTTTGAAGAGTTTTTTCCACTTCCCCATCTGCCAACTCACTGCGATGACTACTGTAACAATCACAATGACATATATCACAGCAACTATCTATGAGTGGCAAAGTATCCAATTCTTCCAGCAATTGTAAATGTTCTTCTATACGGGATTCGCTTAGCGAATATCGTCTCTTTGTCGTCATATTGTAAGGGTTTTATAGGGGTAGGCTCCTTTTCTTCGTACAGCTCAACGAAATTCCTTTGGAAAAGTATACTTGTGTCATCTATAACTTCTTTTTTTTTTTCAAACCTGGTCTCTTCTGTTCCCCTTTGCTATAGGTTAATAGGTTAATTGTTGAAATTTTAAACCGTCTTGAATGTATGCATTCTTTCCTGCTGCCATTACTCTTTCTGTCCTTTTTAAAGGTTATAAAAATTCTTTCACTGCGCTATTCTATTCATATTCTACTTTCAGTTGCTTTCATATTGATTTCATTTTTTATATGTTGCTATGGAAATGCTTTTCAGTTACACCTATGTCACTTTTGGGCTTTGTTAAGCAGTGTTGTGTTTAATCCACGAAACATATATTTACGAGATATAATTATTTTGACATTTAAGTGCAATCGCTTAGTGGGCATAGTGTGCCAGTACATAATTTTCACAAATTTAAGTAGATCTTAAATTTTTTATATTTTCTTGGTCACTTAAGTGGGAAATATTCTCAGATCCGTCTTTAATAATCTACGAAAGGAACGTGACTAAAAGCTCATTAGATTATCTTTATACAAATGACATCTTCTAGCGTACTTAAGGGGACGTACCGAGAACATTTATATTCTTATGCATGCATGTATGTACATATATACATCATTATTATCATTAAGACTTGTGCAGACGAAAATGCCATAAAGGCATCAAATTCATATGCCACTTGGCATTTACAGTATTAGCATCAATGAATATGTGTAGATTTTTTATAAAATTTTTTTAAATTTATAAAGCATCTGTATCTTTGCGAGTTTGGCGAATATATCTTTGTGTCCATTGTTCCAAAACTCGTTAAAGAATTCAAAAAAAAAGACATAACTCGCCTTCTCTATCATCTAATAAACGGACCGTGAAGAAGACTAAGGTCTCTTGTCTTTCTATGTGATATTAAAACACATGTCTTTGATTCAATTGGTGGAAAAGATAAACCTTCAACATATTGTAATGGTCACAAGGAATTCTATTTGCTTTATTCCTAGAAACAAACCAAATGTCGTTACAATTTTAAACGCATTAACAATGTCCACCATATGATATCTTTCAGCTAATATTTAGGAGCTTGTACCTGGTGACACAAATCACCGGCCATATGGTCACAGAAAACAGAGTCCGCGGTGCAAAACATTGGAATAATTTATTATTTCCCACTCGACAGCTTTTTCCCATTTTCACTTTAACATCCAAACGAAAATTAGTTTGCTAATAAAAAAGTGAAGAAGAAAGAAAAATATCATTGCAAATGGGGCAAATGGAGTTTACAAATTTTAGATTTTTTGAGTTAAAACATGATAGAACCAAGATGGTAAAGTCATGCTATCATATGTTTAAATTTTTTTTTTAAATTGTACATTTGACAACATCTCATTGTCAAAATGCTTTTGAAATTGGAAATGTGAATACGTGTTTCCTTTGCATGTTATGTTTGGTAGACATGTTAGAATTTGCAGTTTGGACAGAATCGGATACAACATTTAAAAGTTATCGTGGATACTAGCCACACAGACAGACGGTTGGAGGTCATGGAGGTATAGACTCCAAAGGCACTGACATTTTAATACGAATCAATTGATTCCTCTATAGTCGTAAGATGCAAAGATTCAGTGGTTGCATTTAGATGATATGACAAAGTTTTGGTTAAGATATTAGTCAACAGTTGGGGACAAATGTGATAGAAATGGTTGATAAATGATGTCAAAAGTTGCGCAATGTTAGGTGAAATTGCCTCGTAATTCTCTTGCGAAAAGAAGAATGCTCAAGTACTAAAAATATGCCAGCCCATTCCGCTTATACCTATGATTAAACAGCATCTGTAACATAGGACATTTTGCTAGGAATGTTGATGAGATTGCACAAATTGTTTCTCTAAATTAATTGAATATCCGAATAAATGTAAATAAACAATTTTCGTTTTTGTTGTGACGATTGTATTTGAAAAGCTCAGTTACAGAAAATGCGGAGATGGGAATTTTTATTTGAAATGACTTTACCTTCTTAATTTTACCATGAGTTAAAAATGTCACACTGTAGACTGTGGGGAAAATGCCACATTTCTTCTTGTTTAGTTTCGTGTTATAAAAGAAGAAATTCTTTTGACTTGGAATGCCATATAACGTAAAGTGTATAGTTACTTTAACATCTTATTTTAGGACATGAATCAATCCCTTGTGTAAGTAATGAGTGTTCTAGTATTATTATTAGTATTATAAACTTCATATTATTCTTGAAAACTTGGCAACTCCTATAAATTATTTTTCTCATTTAAGACATGAATCAATCCCCATGAGTGTTCTATTATTACTATTATAAAATTCGTCGAAAGTGGGGGTCTTATTATTCTCGAAAACTTGGCAACTCCGCTAAATTACTACTTCACATTATAGTGAGATACTAAACGTAATGAATGACAGACACACAAAACATAATCCTGAAAACCATAGTACATATTGACTTAGGAGAAAAATTAGTATAGTTAATTGTTACATCCTCAAGAGTATTATTTGCCACTGTATAACCGAATAGTGTAATAAAAACAATAATTAGTTAATTAGTTAATAATTAATATGAACCTATGACCACGCACACACATACGCAATTCATTAACGTTAAACACTTAGCCACACACTCCTCTATTGGTCTCAATCTTTATCCATTATTCAAGTAACAATATTTGTGAAAATTCCAACAAATATTCTCAATTCTAAATATTTCTCAAAAAATGTAAAGAAAATGACAATTTGACGTCCATCAAATATATTTTTTTCTCTTTGTATTCACCTTTTTTTCTTCACGACGACGACTACGAAGACGTCTTTTGACGTTGTTGTGTGTATATATTTTATTTCACAATCAAGACGGATCAAATATATTGCAAAGTACTTTTACTCCACCGTAATTTAAATTTTATTTGTGTTGCACTCCTTTTGTCAATATTATCGTAATTATTTGTATATATCGTTAAATATATATATATTAAATTCGTCCGCGAAAACAGAAACAGAAGAAACTCTTTTTCGTTCGTTTGACTCAGAGATTAGAGCCGAATACTGTAAAGTCACCGGCGTTATGATGACATATATTTCAATTAACATTATCAAAAGTAAAGGGGGCAGCACACTTTGCAAATTAGTATAATAATAAAATATAATTTTGTTTTTCGACAGGTGTACCTTAAATTAATGTACAAAACAGTCAAATCTCCCGAATTTGCAAAAAAAATGGTAAACAAGTTCCCAATTTTCAAGCTTACCATATAAAAACAACTGTTCTTTTCCAGAAATGCAAGAATACCTAAGAGAATTGCAAAATTACTGTATTCTTGCAGGTTCTAAAACATCGTAAATTAATGTAAATATTTTATTTTTTTATAGTTCCAGGTTGGTAAGAATATAAAATTTTATTTGATAGTTTAAAAATGTGTATTTGTATTCTCTTTATGTACCAAAATATCTGTAAAGATCTGCTAGTCAAGCCGTGCACTAAAATTAAACATAAAAAGCCGTTATTTAAGCTTCGTGCTATGTCAATAGGAATTCAAACACATTTTAATACACCAGCAATACGGACATATGGAAGAAAGACAGCAATTGAAAACAGAAACAGATAATCAAATGGGGGAACACATTTTTTAGGAAGAACGACAGGTTTTGCTTGAAGAAATATCTTCAGAGATAAAGGATTAACCATCTAATCACACTTAGGGAATAATTACAGGTTTTAACAAGTAAAAAACAGTAAGTTCGGCCGGGCCGAACTTTGAATACCCTCCACCATTTGGAACGAATTAGAAAATTTTCAAAAAATAAAATCCATTAAAAATTCTGAATTTTAGACAATTCCGTTCAAAAATGTGGCTAAAATTATCAAAATACCGAATATCGGGGGGTACCGTTATATGGGGACTATACGATATCGTGGACCTAAATAGATAATTCTCTTCCAAGGGATAAATTACCCACAAGGAACTCCTTGTGTGGATTTTTAGACAATTCCGTTAAAAATGTGGCTTAAATCATCAAAATGCCGAATATCGGGGGGTACCGTTGTATGGGGATATACTATATCGTGGACCTATATAGGCAATTCTCTTTCAGAGGGTAAACTACTCACAAGGGGCTCTTTGTGTGGAATTTCAGACGATTCCATTAAAAAATTTGGCTAAAATCATCAAAATACCGAATATCGGGGGGTACCGTTATATTGAGGCTATACGATATCGTGGGCCGAACTTGACCTGCCTGCAGACAAACGAGAGATATGTGCAAAATTTTAGCTTCATATCTTAATTCGTGATGATGAACTTAATATACCCTCCATGGTATGGTGGAGTGTATAAAAAGAGATGAGAAATTGGAAAGGTTTTTTTTAAGGAAGAATCGCAAGTTTTACAGAAATAAAAGATGAGTCGGAAGAGTCCTTCGAGCCAGGCAAGTTGTCACATGAAACACCAGTGACATTGTATTGTGTTCCCAAACAAGAGTAAATTCAAGTAGAAGAAGAAATTCACAACACCAATTTTCTAATTCGTAGAACTTCTTTGGCAAATTGCACATATAATTGTTATTTCCAAAAGAGTGATGAAATTTCCAAGCTTTTAAAAATAATGGATGATTTACAAATGGATAGAGGTGAATTTTCTAAAAGACTAAGTATTAGGATATTAATAAAGTACATAAGAAATTTTATAATTTACCAATAGTTAACTTTTAGATAGTTAAATGTTGCTCTACAAAAATGTCTTATAGACCAAAAGATTTAGAATATTTTTATTTTCATATATTTTTATTTAATACATTTTTCTTTAAATCTTTTTAATTTCATATATATATTTTTATATGTTTTTATTTTTATATATTTTTGTTTTTATATATTTTTATATATTTTTATTTTTATACATTTTAATTTTTATATATTTTTATACATTAGTCTACAACTTCCTCTGCATACAATCTCAAACAAAATATTATCTAAATATTCTGAGTCTGATCATGTATGGAATTTGAAGAACCCCCACCTAATTATTCTTAAATTTTTATTCATACGCTGCATTTCCCATTAAAAAGTACATTGCTTAGAGTGTTTTAAAACAGATTTTATTTATCCTCATTTTTTTAAATAAAAAAATTCACATTCATCTTCCGTAGCGGTGTCAATAGCATGGAAATGTACACCAACAAATGATTTTTAACGATGACAATTATTATATCAAATCTATTGATATTCATTTTACTTAGCAATCTACTTGTCCTTGGAATCACCCTTACCACCACGAATTCTACCAGTACGGCGGGCAGCAATAAGACCGACCTTACGACCAGCAGAGGTACCACGCTTGACTGTGGAAGCCTTACCAATATGTTGATGGTTACCACCACCGTGAGGATGTTCAACGGGGTTCATAGCAACACCACGAACCTTAGGCCAGCTGTTACGCTTAACCTTGTATTTGTGGTAGGCACGACCGGCCTTCAAGATAGGTTTGTCGATACGACCACCACCGGCAACAATACCAACCATAGCACGATTGGCAGAGGGTACAACCTTCTTGGCACCAGAAGGCAACTTAACACGGGTCTTCTTGGTATCGGGGTTGTGTGCAATGACGGTAGCATAATTGCCAGAAGTACGAGCCAAACGGCCACGATCACCGGTCTTTTCTTCCAAATTGCAAATGATGGTACCTTCAGGCATGGTAGCGATGGGCATTACATTGCCGATTTGGAGGGTGGCTTTACGACCGCAGTAGACGAATTGTCCAGTGTGCATACCTTCGGGAGCAATGAAGAGCTCCTTGCGGATCTTGTAGCGGTAGGGGTCACGGAAGTGAACGACAGCCAAGGGAGCACCACGGCCAGGGTCGTGGATGATTTCCTAAGAAAATAAAAATAAGTGAAACTTTACAATTAATCACCCTTTAGCAAAAACATAAGCAGGCATAGTCTTGATACAAGAATATCAACAATATGTAAGAATTAAGCATTGCATATGACTGCCCACTGACATTCATGAAGTTATTTCAACTTACCTTGACAACACCGCGAATGTAGCCATTGCGTTCGGCGAAATCCAAAGATCTCAATTTAGCGGCACCTTTACGGTGGTGGACATGGGCCTTGAAGACGGACCCAGCACCTTTACGTTGTGCACGAATGACGCGACCCATTGTTGGCTTCTATTTCCTATAATCAAAAATTTCCACAATATTAACACTTGCTGTCAAACGTAATTCATTTGTTTACATGAGTTTGTTTATCGAATTTCCACAAACATTTCCACACAATAATTTAAAATACTTTGACGACACATAACAATATTAGATTTCAGTATATTTCTCATAATTATTTTTTGTAGATGGCTTGTAAAATTCGATATTTTTTAAGATTAAATTCCAATATACAACACCTACCGAAAGCCTGCTAAAAAAGAAAAGAAAGAAAAAGAAGGAAGTAGAGCTGGAAAACAATCGATCTGGCTATCGATAACTTTGATTTTCCCGCTGGTGTCATTGTCGATTAAATGTATATGCAATCGTATAATATCGGCCATACTGTAAAGTAGAGTATACACCTGTGATTATTATGTTGTTTCTTTTCTATTCTGAAATGATGTGGAATACACATCCAGGACATACAAGAAAGTGCATAATTTGGTACTCGAGCCGAAAAGATAGATTTGTCTTGTCATTTAAAATTTGCGCTAATTTGATTCAAACAATTAGAAACAGCATGTTTGTTTACATTTTTGTGTTTACCTTGATACACAAGCAGCTTGACGTATTCACATGGTATATCTTGTGACATAGCATAAAGGAATGCCACAGCCGCAATCAAATTCTGCCGTCGTTTCTCATTATAATTTGACATATATATGCTTAGCTATGACGCCAAGCTGCATATGTACCCACACCCTTAGTGACACATACTTATTCGGTTGCAGAAAAGTGAAAAAATACAGCCTTTTGTATATTAAAGAAGCAAAGAGAAAATCGAAAATAAACGAATAGTCTGTTTCAGAACCTGCCTGAATCTGCTATTTTTAACAATACACACACATATACAAACTGTGTAGATGTTTTGACAGAATAGGGGCACCAAAAGAAAAAATTGTATATAGGAATTAGCTTTGTTCTACCTTCTGTAATTGTGACATACTATAACTGATATCGAAAAGAAAAGGGTAAAACGGTTCTTACAAGTTCAGGATAAAAGCGAAAATTTCCAAACATTTTTGAAAAACTAGTTTATTAAAATTGTTAAAATAGCTGAAAAAGACATATCGAAATAACCTCTGATTTGTATTGTACAAGAAACGATAAAACATCAACTTCTTTTTGCACAAAATATTTTTGGCATGTTTCTACCATGGTGCATTCAAAATTACAGCTATTTGTTTTGAATTTAATGGAGGCATCATATGAGTTAATGCAACTACCTAGTAGATCTGCCTTGTGTGTACCGTATCTTAATTTTAATATGCGTGAGTATCGGCATTGATGTTTGCGACATCTGGTAAAATATCGATGACAGTAATCAAAAATTTGCCAGAACTAGTAAAAAGTAGGGTTATACAAATCGTTTATTGACTACTCTCTTAATGGATTTTTGTGTCACGCGTGGGCCATCATGCATCTTAAGTAGTAGTAGTAGTAGTAGTAGTAAAAACTTCTTTATTGAATAAATATTTTCAAATACAGTATGACATTAATAGATATTAAGAAGTTGATATTGGGATTGCGACAATGTTTTTAAAACGTCTGTCGCCTAGTTTAATAAATTCAAAGTTTTTCTTTTTTAGATAAAAGTGTTTAGTTAAATTCATTTATCAAAAGCTGCCTGTATTTATAGCTGACTTCAATGTAGTTTGTTAAGTCATTCCAGCCACTTTCTTCTTCGCCATTGAGTATCTTGATTATTTCCTCTTCATCAAGCGTTGGCTTTCTGAATGATCTCATTCTGAATTCTCGTAATACGGGACAAATTCCTAGAAAGTGCTGCATCGTTTCTACTTCCCGCATATTACAAAGCTTGCATTCTCTATTTCGGTCTCCTTGGTCAAATCTGTTGTATTCCAGAGGTATCATACCGCTACGCGCTTTAAAGATGCAAATGATTTTCTCTTCAGAGTACTTATCATTTAAATAGAGATGGCCAATATTTGTTTTTAGATGTCTATAAATTCGTTGACTCTGGCTATTTTCTTTTTTCCGTATATTTTCATTGTGGATTTGTAACTTTATGCATTTTATAATATCCTGACAGAAAGTAAACCAGTTGTTTTGAGAGGACATTACATGCGACCATTCCAAACTAAATGATTCAGCCAGTACCTTCAATTCCTTGGCCCAAAAAGTGTTCTTGCGATATATGAGTTGTGTAAGTTTTTGAGGAAGCCTGTTTTCAGAATATTGAAACAGAGTTTTTCCGAGATAGTTGAGGTGTAGCCCCAGTGTATATATTTGAGTATCTTCAACATCCGTTTCCAGCATCAAAATGTGGTTTGGAGTAAAACTAGGAACTCTCAATATTCGTTTAAGAAAGAATCTCAATAATGTGTTAGACTCTTCGAAGTAAGTGAATCCCCAGACCTGGGCAGCATATGTTTGTATGGATCTACAAACTGCTAAAAACAGCTTCCATTTTGCGTTCATATTTATGTCTGCTTTACCAATAAATTGTTTCCATGTCGAGTTTATAGCATTTTTTGCCTCTTTATTCCGATTTTGTACGTGTTTTAGGAACTTCATTTTTGGTGTGAACGTCACGCCTAAATACTTAAATTCATTTGAAATTTTGATTTCTCTGCCATTATACATCCATTTTTCATGTTTGCTTAGTTTCCCTCCGTTTCTAAAGACCATTATTTCCGATTTGGATAAGTTTACTTCTAGGCACCAAATTTTGCAGTATGTTTCCACTTTATCTATCATTTTTTGGAGTATTGCAATATCATCAGCAAGAAGCACAATATCATCTGCGTACAAAAGACTTCTGATATTGATATTGTCCACGAAAAGTCCACCACCAATATGCTCGTGCAGATCGTTTATATAAAGTGCAAATAATAACGGTGACAATAGACAACCTTGTTTTACACCTTTTGTAGTTGGAAAGAAATCTGAAAGCTCTCTTCCATTCCATACTGCCGATTGGGTGTTATTGTATATTCTTTCTATTAATGTGACCATTTTGTATGAAATTCCCATTCTAAACAGCTTATAAATAAGTGCTTGTCTTGATATGTTATCAAATGCTGCTTTGAAATCGATGAAAAATGAGTATACTTTTTTCTTTTCTGCTAATTTGAGTTCGACAATAGAGGCAAGATTGTATATGTTGTCAACTGTAGAGTAGTTTCTACGAAAACCAGCTTGATATTCGTTCAAAATTTCATGTTTTTCAACCCAATTGTAGAGCCGTTCATTAATTATCCCCATAAAAATTTTTGCCGCACAGTTCATGAACGAGATTCCTCTATAATTAGATGGCTCATTAAAATCTCCTTTTTTATGTATCGGAAAAATTACCGTTTTTGTGAAAGAGGTATCAATATTTGTGCTCGAAAATATGTTATTATATACATTCAACAATTGAGTATGTAGTTGTTCTGTGCCATTTATATAAAATTCGTATGGAATCCTGTCTTCTCCGGGAGCTTTATTTCTTTTCACACATGCAAATATTTTTTCCAGTTCGGACATAATTATTGGTGTGTCCAAATCAACATCTTCCTTATATGTAGGCGCATAGTAAATGAGTGTGGATTCTTCGGAATTATTTAAGAGACTTGAATAATAGCATTTAAAGATTTCTGGGGTTATATTTATCCCTACGAAGTTGCTTTCATTTCGAAGTTCTCTTGCCATTTTCCACCATTCTCCTGCGTTTCGTATGCTGTTTAGATTATTGCCGATTGATTTATAATATGCAGATTTACTTATATTACATATGTTTTTGTATTGGATTTGTGCGGCTGAATACCTTCTTTTGTCATCCAGATCTCCAGTTCTTCTATATATTTTGAGCAAATTAAAACTGTTTAAACGAGCTTTGTTGCATGTATTATTGTACCATTTTTGTTTTGCTTGAAATGTCGGCTTGTTTGAATATTGTGTGGGATATGACCTTGAAATCGCCTTACATATTGCCTCCAGGCATGACTGTGTTGTTTCTTGGATTACTTCCAAATTTATGTTCAATCTTCGTTGGTAATTATTCTTATTATTCTCTTTCCAGATGAGTTTTGGCAGTAATGACATCTTTTCTTCTGTTTGCGAATAGGATCCAATATTTATCCTTACTAGAATCGGGAAATGATCAGACCATACCTTATCCTCCACTCTAAATTCTACAATTCTTTCTAGAACTTCCTTAGATACTGCACATAAGTCATTCACAGAATCGCCTAATGTTGATATGTATGTGAGATCTCCTTCCTTATCGCCTTTTGTTATTCCGTTTAATATAAGCATATTGTAATCATCACAAAGCTGTATGAATTTTGAACCTTTTTGATTAACTATTTTGTCTTTTGATTTCCTTAAATCATATCCTGAGTAGAACTTTTTCCGGTATATATCTCCGATACTCTGATTCACTTCTCCAATTCTCGCATTGAGATCTCCTATTACTATCTGATTTGAGATGTCCGCGGTTTGAAATATTTGGCTCAGTTTTCTAAAATCGTGATCCCAAGTAGATGGCCTGAGGTATTGGGGTATAAGTGTATATACTTGTTCCTTATATTGTAATTTTATAATGAGCTTGTCATCTGTATGGATAATTTCGTATGAGACACCCATATCAATCATTTCTTGTTTGATGCCTATTATTATTCCACCAATTGCTCTTCCAAACCTATGGACCCTTATAGCAGGCTCGAAAACTAATTGATATCCGATAAAATATGTCTTGGCTCTTTCCATTTTTCCCCTTTCTAAATGTGTTTCCAATAATAAAAATACTTCATATTGTGTTATATATTGAAAAAACGTTGGGTATAGATATTTATTTACTAGACCATTTATGTTATATGATAGTATGGATATGCTTCTTGTTTCGTTTACGGGAGTTATGTGCATCAGTTTTTTGGATGAAAATCGTTAATCAGAGTACCATAATTTAAATTGATTGACTTTATAACGTCTCCATACAACTTAACGAGTTCCTGTTCTCCATCAGCGTTGCCAGATACAAGTTTGTTATCTGCATTCCATCTGAACCAACTGTCTTTTATTTTAATCCTGTCTTCTCTCACCACGACTTTATGTTGTTTGCTAACTGAAAGTAGGTTTTTCTTAAGTGTAAGAAAAGCTTTCTTATGTTGTTGTTTATTAGGTATCATATCCCTCTCTATAGAAATATTTGACCCAGCTAATTTTCTGGTATTCTGAAAAACGTCTTGTATTGCCTTTTCATTATCAAGCTCTACAATTACTGCCATTTTGCCGTTACGGTCAAAAACTTTTTGCGCGTTCTTTATGTTGGCTATGCATGCATCTTAAGCTCTGTCCAGAACTGCAAGAATTTAAAAGTTTTTATTATGATACCGATTTTTTCCTTTATGGTATCGAAACAAATTGCAAATCTAGTAGATTCTTGCAGGTTTTGGAACAGAGCATTTATTTCCCAAATATTGGCTAATATTTTCAGAACCTGCATGAATGAAAAAATGTTAACACAATATCCAATTTTTTATGATATCGAAAAAAATAGATTTATTTTGTTTCTAGAATAAAGTAATTATTTATGATTGCTCTAATGTCAATTGTTGTTTGTTTGTCGGTTTTTCATCCGATGGAATTTACAATTCTTTTACACTTAGAAAAAATTGTAATCAGCTGGTAGCTTTACCTTACTTTTTTATTGCACCATGGTACAAATTATCGGGCATAAGAACAGTCCTAATTTAGACAAACAGACCTTTATCACTTCTTGGTCTCAGTATTGTTTTTATAGTTAAGAATGTCTAATTGATGCAGAAAAAGCAGATTGGTGCCAGCGGTATTCTGCCCGGTGAATAATTTAATTGAACCATATTATTGTTTATTTTGTCGGCAATGGATGAGCTACGAGCTGATAGCATATTAAGTGAAATTTTGGAAAGTAGAAAGACTCTAACAGGATTTTTGGATGCAGTCTTCGGGTTTTTATGTCGCAGGTACTAGTTACGCAGGTACTTAGTTAATTCAGTAACCTTTTATTTATTTTTTTTTTTTTCAGAACTGACTTTTTCCACATTCAAACAAGTAAAGATGATAAAATTGGATTCCCCAGAGGAATAAAAGAAGAGATACTCCTGAGTTGCATGCAGAAATATGAAAAAGACAGCCAAACAACACCTCAAGTGGTACGCGAGGAGTATGTTCCGCCGGCAATAGAAGAGGTAGAAATTGAAACCGAAGAAATACAAAATGACTTGGATATAAAAACAAACGTGCATGAACCGCCGAAATCTCGAAATTCAACAAACGATAAAACACATTTTAGTGAAAATGATTTCAAAAATGGAGACAAGAATGACAGATACTGTTGGAGCCAAACGTTAAAAGATATTGAACTGTCTATTCTCCTTCCATTTGAAGTTAAGTCGGCAAAACATGTAAAAATTAATTTGAAATCAAACCATATTTCCGTAAAATCGTTATTGCCACAAGAACAAGATATTGTATGCGGTGAAACTTGGAGTCGTTTTAAACATAACGAGGCTGTGTGGACTATTGCCGATGGTAAAATTGTACTTAGTTTGGGTAAGTTCATTATATGTTTCACATGCATACAATATGTGTGATTTTTTTTCCAATTTTTCGGTTTCAGATAAAACAAAGGAGGGCTGGTGGGATAAGTTGTTTGTTGGCGATTCATCTATAGATATAAAAAAGCTCGACACCGAAACTCCAATCGAAGAATATCCGGAAGAAACGCAGCTGGAAATTGATAAAATTCAAACACAGATGCTTAGCCAAAAATTGGATGATCCGAAAGGTATTCCATTGTCTAGAGGTGAACAAATATCTCGCCTAAAGCAAGCGTGGAATGCAGAGAACTCACCTTTTAAGGGGCAACCGTTTGATCCATCTTCGATTCAGTTTGACTAGTAAACATTTTATAAAATATATGGAGTTGTATACAAATTTTTATTTACTTAAAAATCACACGAATGAGAAAAATTTTTGCTTTGCATTGTATGGTCTGTTCCACAACTGCAAGAATGTAAATTTTTTTACTATGATAAGCGATTTTCCCTTTATGATATCGAAAAAAAAAAATGCAAAACTATTAGATTCTTGCAGGTTCTGGAACAGACCATTAGTCTTTTGTATGGTTACCTATTCTATTTAATATTTTCTAACTTTTCAAGTAAGCGGTTGAGACATGCCATTTGTCTTTCTTCCATTAGATTTAAACGTTGATTTATGCGCTCTTCCATTTCATTTAATTTTTGGTCAATATAATCTTGTATTAACATTGTATTTTTGTCGCTTTCGCCAATATTAATATTTTCAAATTGTTGGGTATTTTCTTTAAGGGTTTTCGATCGAGCCAACAATTCCAGCAAGCGTTTACTTTTCTCTAGTGTTGTCGCTTCACCTGATGTTTCTTCGTTCAAATTGGGAATAAGTGTTGTAATACCTCTAGGATTAGGAGCCGTTTGAATTTGTACACCAAATAAACAAATTTCCGTCAAACTTTTAGAGAGAAACTGTATAAAAGAAAATTAGAATTTGTTGTTTGTTCATACAAAATGGCAATTACCTTAATTGTAAGTCGTGTGATTCCTGATTTTTGTAACTCCACATCGTAGCGGTATGTTTTTAATTGATCATCAAGATAATCTTCTTCCATTAGCCTTTCGCCGTATATTGTTTCCAAATATTCTTTTGAAAGACCCTGAAATATCTCTAATTTGTCGACGCTACATACCATGCAAAATGCCTGAATTTTGTATTCAGGATAAAGTTGTATATCTAGCTCACAATATTCTGAATCATCGTCGGATTTGGTTAGCAAAACTGCTTTCTCCTGATCAACAAGTTCTTCGTTTGTAGGTCTAACAAAGCATTGATCGTTCGTTATTTCGAAAAAAAAAGAAACAAATGGAATTATAAATACCTTTGAAAAACATCAGGGTCAGCGTTTGCCAATTGTAGAGCTTCGGCCAATGGACAACCTGAAATCCGTGTCCAATTACAACCAACCTTTACAAGAGTGGGATCTATGCAATTTCCACCAGCCATTTCCAAACAGTGTAAGTCCCAGAAGTCCTTTGTTTTAAATTGTAGAAGTTGGTGCTTGCTATTGACGGCGGTTTGTAGCGTCATGCACAATAAAAGCGGTTAGTGTCGGCGTTAAGTATTTCTACTTGCTCTCTCCCAGAACTGCAAGAACGTGAAAGATTTTACTACGATAACCGATTTTTCCTTTATGATATCGAGCAAAATTTCAAAACTTTTAGATTCTTGCAGGTTCTGGAACAGAGCAATTGTATGTTTATTACAAGATAACTGCAAGTGCTGACTTTTTGTTAAAAGTAATAGAAGTGACAATATTTTTACTACTAAACAAGTATTAATTGCCAACAAAATTATAACGAAAGAGTAGCATCGCATATTTAGACTTGACTTTGGTTATATTCATATTCGATTTTTCAGATGATGTTTGTAATACTTTCCGTATAAAATACCCCTTTGGTGACTCACTTGAGAGTTAAAGTTTTCGATCAAAATAATCCTCGTACCGTTATCAGTTATATAAACACATGCGCTGTTCCAGAACTGCAAGAACATATATTTTTTTACACGATAACCGGTTTTTCATTTATAATATGGAAAATTGCAAAGGTAATAAATTCTTACATTTTAGGGTGAAAAGCAACTATTTACTTAAAGATCAGTTACAAAAATAAATAGATTTTCAAATATTGTTGTTATTGTTGTTCAGAGGTTTTTACGATATGGTCTTTTCAACAAATTTAAATACTTTTTCTTTCAAAAATTTTAATTCTCAAATGTTTTGACAGCTCATTGTGCCACCAGCTGTGTGGATGCGGTTTTATGACCATACATGTCACCGTTAAGTTAGAACAAGACAACAATAGTTGTCATGTTAACCATTCGCTTGTTAATCTCATCACAAAAAGAAGAAGACTCAAATAAAGATTACTACTTACTAAACCTGCAAAATTTATTTTAATTTTCAAAACAAAGCTACCAATTCGTTAAAAGTTAATGTTCATTTTTATATTCAAATAGCACACTTATGTACTGGTAGCCGAAAATTAACGAGTTTAAAAACTAGAAGGTAATTTGCAAGTTTTGTGTTGGTCGACATATCTAGGAAAAGAAAATGTCTTGTAAAATGAGTAACTAATAAAAAACCAAACCACCAACACGAAGCTAACAACCTACGCTAAAAACAACCAAAGTTTTATCAATATTTCAGGGAATCGAGTATGCGATGGCAGTGTTTTTGATAAGGAAGAAAGAACCATGAATTTTGCGTTGTAAAACGAATTGCGAAAGATATACATATATGTTTGTGTTTTTTTTTAACAAAAGTGTGTTATATATTCCATTGGTTTGTTGATGGAGAAGTGAATTACATTTTATTGGTTCTTGTAATGTTTCTTTGTTCCTGTAACAATAGTTTAGGGGATTGATTCCTCAGACTGATAATTGATTAGAATTTGTAACCAGGTGTTAATGCAAAATACCTACACGATGCAGTGAATATATAAAGTGAATCTAGTACATAGCAGTGACGTCACTGATAATTTCGAACTGGATTTCTTAGTGGACGCTTAGCGGTTAACAAAAAAAGTGACATTATACCTAATGGTAATAATGCTATATGAAAAAAAAAGTGATAACACAATATGCGTAGTTGCATTGGACTAAGAAAAATATGTATTGAAGATGTTTACATCAAATACTTATTTATACAACTCGGTATTTGTAGATATGTTTGAAATAGTTGCGAATTGAAAGCAAAACATAAAACTGTCCCATTAACCAGTTGGAAGAGTTGCGCTGAATAAATGTCGATTGCTTTTCATCGTTATTATCAAACACCTTTTTATAGAACGTTGAAGAATGACAGATTTAATGGCTATAGTTTAAACGTTTTAACAGATTTTAAACCTACTAAATACGAATAATAACAGAATATCTTAACACCACTTTTCACACAAGATTTAAAAACTTTTGTGCAAAGTATTTTTCTCCTTTAATTCTTGTTACTAATTCCAATTATTTTTTATATTTCAGTTCTGTCTAAGTAATCTTATTTATTAAAATGGATAATCAAAGCATTCCTCGACTGCCAGGTAATAAATAATATCCCATGTTAAAAAGATAAATATAATTTAGATAATTGCATGTAAATATAGCTTAATATTAGTAGTTTTGTGTCGACAATATTTTACATGCGGTTTTATATGTGTGTAAATGTATCTTTAAAAATACTAATTACTTGGATATCAAGTCTTTAAAAAACATTTCAAATATAATCGACGGGGTTGAAACGACAACAAAAATCGCCTCTCACAATTTTGTTTGTAAATATGTGGCTAAATGTGATAATTTTGTACCCATATCACAAACTCTTTAAAATATAACTCATAGTTACTCAAGGTCGAAAATATAACATTAGTTCATTAGCTTTGGTGGCAATCGAAAATTATTGATCGCACACATATTTCTTAAAGTAAAAGAATATTAATGATTCATTTTGTTTAAAATTAGATTTGTTTCGTGGATGACCCATCCACTCCAATCGTATTAGCTGATAAGCCGAAATATAAAATGTTTCGCCTCATTTTTGGTTTATACAACAAGTCAGCCTTAAAATTACGAGTGATAAAGTAGTTTTGGATTGAGAAAATGTTCGAATGAAATACGTTGTGGATATTTGAAAGACCATAGAGGAAATATGTAGTCGATTTGGCCAATAACGAATAATAGGTATTACTCGAAATTCAATCGACATACATGCATTTCTCGCATAAACTGTGTTCAATCTTAGTCTTTCTCATCTTCCCACAGCTGACAGTAATCGACGAATTGTTTGTGGATTGAGGGTTGTAGCAATACGTTAGAACTCCTATAGGGCCCATGTCTCTAACAGACATAAATCACAGTTCAGCGATCTCAGAATCTGATGTTCAAATCAACCCTGATCATAAACATCTTATGGTGTTTATTGTAACTTATGGTTAATCAATTAAATTAAATGCTAATTCTCGTCTATTCATATTCAAAGAAATGTACATTTTAGCCATCTGAACCCATCAACTTTTAATTACCCTCCCTCATAATATTCAACTTGCTATTCCCTACATTTTGGTTCAATTTTATAACTAATCATGATCATCTGCCTGTTTTTTCCAATATGTGTTATAAATGTATGTATATAAATGTTTTAGTTTTGTAAATTAATACTTGGTCCGAAGTAATTAAATAATGCATTTTTGTTTTTTGAACATTTTTTCCTTTTTAACCAATTAATTTACTGTGTAAAAACAAAAAAAAAAAAAAATCTAAAAAACAAAACACATCCAAATTACAACCAAATCGATACTAAAAACTTCAATTCAATTATTATAAGGATTTAATAAATTAAAAAGAATAGTATGTAAAGAGTATTTAGATTTGCATTAACAGTTCATGTGGATATAATGAGTTTCGTGTTAATCACCATCTAGGACCAGCTATAAATCCCATAGTAGAAAATTCAGATGAGCCACAGCCAAGTCTATCGGATTTACATGATTTTGAACCCAAATTAGAATTTGATGATTCGGAATTATTGGCTGTACCATTTACACACACAACACGTAAGTTATGGCGTTTTGTAACTAATTACATTTTTTGTGAAAAAAATTAAATCCATTTTGTTTTATATTGTAGATGATGTGATGGACGAAGATTTTGTTATTGCAGAAGGTAAGTAAGGCCTGTTTTTTCCATCTATATCGTTTTTAATTATTGTAATGTAATTATTTTTATATTAACAGATCCGAATGATGAATCGACTGAAATTGTGAATCCACTAGAAGATGATTTTGAAGATCAACTGAGAGAGGAAAATGAAAATTTCAGTATTTCACCAAAACGAAAAAACTGTGATTTTTTGGGTACCGATAAACAAGGACGCCACATATTTGGTATATACGCCTCCAGATTCCCGGAAAAATCACAAATGGAAAGTTTTATTCGGTAATGAATGCAACAACAGTTTACAATTTGATTTTAAATTTCCATTTTGTCACCAATTCTAGGGACATTATTAAAGAAATCGAACCCTATGTTGAAAATGACTATATCCTGGTATATTTTCATCAAGGTCTAAAAGAGGATAACAAACCATCAGCCCAATTTCTATGGAACTCGTATAAGGAACTGGATCGCAATTTCCGCAAGAATCTGAAAAATCTTTATGTTGTCCATCCTACCTGGTTTATACGTGTCATATGGAATTTCTTTAGTCCATTCATTAGTGAAAAATTTCGTAAAAAGCTTGTCTACATCTCAAATTTAGATGAACTTCGGCAGGCATTGGGTCTATCGAAATTAAAATTACCCGATAATATATATAATTTTGATGATAGCCTAAATCATTCACGTCGGCATGTTTCTATAAACTCGAACATTGACGATAGGTCAACGCACAAACAAATGGCTAAAACTGCACAATTTGGTGTAACGTTGAAATTCATCGTTACAAATAGTCCTTGCTTAAATTCAATACCGCCCATCGTACGTAAATGTGTCGACTCATTGTCGATAACTGGCATGATTGATACCGAAGGCATATTCCGTCGTTCGGGAAATCATTCAGAGATTATAGCTTTGAAGGAGCGTGTTAATCGTGGTGAAGATGTCGATTTAAAAGATGTGAACGTTCATGTTATAGCCGGTCTATTGAAAAGCTTCCTTAGAGATCTAGCCGAGCCACTATTAACATTTGAATTGTATGAAGAAATAACAAGTTTTCTTGGTAACTATATGAATGGAGCATTTGAAGGTTTTTATATTTATAATAATAAAATTTTATTTTAGAATGGCCTAAAGAAGATAGATCCCGCAATGTAACGCAATTGATACGCGAGAGACTGCCTGAAGAAAACTATGAATTATTTAAATATTTAGTGGAATTTTTAGTAAGGGTAAGTTATAAAAAAAAAAGCGAAAACGCTATGAAGGAAAACATGCCGAACGACCCGAGTTTATTCGGTTGGTGTTGCATCAGCTACCTTTGTAAAAATGGTATGGGACTAACAAGTGCGTTTCCACGTCACCAGAAATCTTTATGTTTGATTGCATTATCATTACATTATGTCCTATTGCCAGTTGCATATGAAAGTCTGCGCATTATCGTATTATTTGATGGTGCCGGTGGAAATCTTAGATTCAAGTTTCCTAAAATGTCACCTACAAGGGATAATCTTTACTAAATCAAATCCCCTCTTGTTTCTTTTGTTAATAGGTTATGGAGTGTGAAGATCTAAACAAAATGACATCTTCGAATTTAGCCATTGTCTTCGGTCCCAACTTTCTGTGGTCGGATAAAAAAACAACATCCCTAGATGAAATAGCTCCCATAAATGCATTCGTTGACTTTGTATTGCAAAATCAAAAGGACATTTATTTAGTTGACATCAATCAAGGACCTACCCCTATTGGCTGAAAAATCAACTAAAATATTCTTTGGATATAATTATGGCGGCAATATTTATGTAATGTGTATCGTTAAATAATAATGAAAACATGAAAAGGGATCCCAAACTAATTCTTAAAAAAATAATAATTAAAACTAATTAAGCTAACCAGAATTAACACAATGGCAATTATCAGAAAGAGAACAGCGGAAGAAATAATGGTGTCGAAACATCACATATATACAACTAGATTTTAATGTTAAGTGTATATTATAAAATAATATTAATTAAGGTGCAAGCATGGAATAACTACTGTTTTGGTATTTTAATATAACTAGTTCTTTATTTGTGAGAGTTCGGAAACCAGCACAAATTGGACATAAAGAAACATTCCTGCTACCACATGATGCATATTCTTATGCTTGCAAAGAACAGGTTATTTAAATGCGGCGTATGATAGTTTAAAAAATAAACAAAATTCATTTGGTTCAAACATAATCTGTAATCATATAAAAATAACATTTTTTAAATTTTAACCCAACAATATATTTATTTTTGTTATAATTCTAACTATATACTCTATTTACCAAAGAATGTGTTTTATTGGAAATCTTAAAGAATGTCGTGTCTGTTTTTTTTTTACAAATTTCTTCTATATTCTATTACTAATGTCACAATTCCAATAACGGTGCGGTATTGAATACCACCCATAAAATTGATAAATTTACACTTTTACAATTAGTATATTTTGTTTTTCCCCCAAAAGTCGTATGCTTTCAAACAAATTATTTGGAAAAACAAGTTGCTGGAAATAATTTTAATAGAAATTACCAACGCACACCAAAAAACAAAAGTGAAACATGAATCAAACAAACAAAATAAAACAAGTTTTAAACTGTGTAAAATAAATGTTATATTAAGGATGGAATAAAATATTTTTAAAGAATGAAACAAATATTAGTATTTTCTTTATGAATATAAAAAGTTAACATTGTTTCAAGGATGTGGAAAATACGTTTCGGAGATGTCATGTCGGATGGCCAAGCCTAAAGGAAAAACTCAAATTTAAGACTATGCTAACATTTCGATTCCATGGTAATGGATATAAATAAGCAGAAATGTTTTTACAAACCTCTCAGCAAGGTCTCTAAATTCCACATAGATAAAATGGTTAATCGTTCCTTTTTTTAGTCAGTCATTAACATGAGAAAGTAGGGGCGTGTTACGAGTCGGGTTTTCTTTCACGCGTCATTTATAATCAACTTGTTGTTCTTCGTTTTAAAACATGACATGCCACTATGGACTATATCCTTTTTAACATTTCCAGTATTTACTACACCTTTTAGATATGGGACAACCTCCTACTATTTTGCAACAACAAAATTGCAGATTACCTTCCTATAAAGGCATATGTAGATTCGAGATTTTTTTGCGAAAATGCTCCCCTTGAAATCGATTACACAAAATACATTTTTAACAATTTTCAAATATAAGACAGTTTTCTACTATTTTTTTTGGGTAAGTATCTAGTACTCAGCCTGTCTATTTTACGCAACAAACTTGCGTATTGTTTTCATTAAAAAAAAAGTCTAAACTTCCACATCGATTTCATGAAAATATCTCCCACTGTTTTAAGTAATCGATTACACGAAAATCGATTTTTATACTCCCAGTGGCTATAAAACCATTTCCAGTATTTTGACATTTCATGAGTAAAACAGTTTGACAGCCCTTTACATTTGACGTGACAATTTGGCGTGGCTCGTTTTCCTTTTCTTTGCCAATTTTTACAATTTAACGCTAATTTAGAAAGCCGAAATAAACGAAAATGGCGAAAAAGAAGAGCGAAGATGCCACTAATGATCAGGATTATGAAGAGGAGCCAAATTTTGAGGATCCAGAAGGTTTCGTAGATGATATTAGTGATGAAGGTATGGACAACCAAACATAACCTACAACTTATGTTGACGAGTAATATTTTTTCACAATTTTGCAGAACTGTTGGTCGACAAATTGGCTCAACGTCCATCCGAGGCTGATGGTGTGGAAAATGTTGTAGTTGTGGATAATATTCCCAAAGTTGAGCCCAAGAAATTGGAAAAGTTGCAAAACATCATAAACAAGACTTTTTCCAATTATGGCGAGATTGTAAATTCGGTATACCCGGTTGATGAGAATGGAAACACAAAGGGGTATGCCTTTATGGAATTCAGGAATCAACAACAAGCTGAGGAAGCTGTTAGGAATTTAAACAATTATCGTCTCGACAAGGTGCATACCTTTATTGTAAACCTATTCACCGATTTCCAAAAATATGACCACATCCCCGAAAAGTGGGAACCCCCAACCCCTCAGCCCTTTAAAATGCAAAATGATTTGTATAGCTTCTTATTGGATCCCGATGCATACGATCAATATTGTGTGGCTGCTGAGACATCGCCAAACAGTGTGCAGGTAGGATTCTGGCAAAATACCCTTCCCGAACCTACTGATTTGGAAACCCGCGAAAGCTTTACCGATACCTTTGTTAAGTGGTCGCCATTGGGTACGTATTGTGTGACATTCCACAAGCCCGGTGTTGCCATCTGGGGTGGAAGTAAATTCCAGCGTATCCAACGTTTCCCCCATCCTGGTACACAATTCGTTGAATTTTCTCCCTGCGAAAACTATTTGGTAACCTATGGTCCAACCCCAACCGGACAAAAAGTAGTTATTTGGGACATCCGTTCTGGTGCTGAGAAACGTTCTTTCATTGCCGAAGATGTGTCAATGTTCTCTATGTTCCGCTGGTCACATGATGACAAATATGTTGCACGTTTGGGCGAAAGCTCCATTCATATCTATGAAACTCCCTCATTCTACCTGCTTGACAAGAGATCAATTAAAGTTCCCGGCATTCGTGGTTTCTCATGGTCACCCACAGACAACATTATCGCCTACTGGGTTGAGGAACAAAATCAAATTCCCGCCCGTGTCACCCTTTTGGAAATACCGAAGAGACGTGAGATTCGCAATAAGAACCTTTTCCACGTAGCCGATTGTAAACTTCACTGGCAGAAATCTGGTGACTATTTGTGTGTTAAAGTAGATCGCTACTCTAAATTGAAAAAGGACAAGAAAGATTCCGATGTTAAATTCTTGGGTATGTTCTACAACTTTGAAATATTCCACATGCGTGAAAAGGAAATTCCTGTCGATTCTGTTGAGATTCGTGAATTAATTTTGGCATTTGCCTGGGAACCAGTTGGTAATAAATTCGCCATTATCCACGGTGAAACCAGTAATTCCAATGTCAGCTTCTATGAGGTGAATAACGGCGTTAAACCTTCGTTGGTTAAGAAACTTGAAAAGAAATCCTGCACTCATCTCTTCTGGTCTCCACGTGGTCAATTCATTGTCATGGCCAACTTGACAATGGGTACATTTGAATTTGTTGACACCAATAATAATTTCGTCATCACTGCATCACCCGATCATTTCCGTGCCTCGGAAGTTGAATGGGATCCAACTGGTCGTTATGTGGTCACCGGTGTGTCATCGTGGAAGGTTAAGGAAGATACTGGTTTCAATATGTACACCTTCCAAGGACGCATCATTCGTCGTAGTCTTCTCAAGAACTTTGTACAATTCTTATGGCGTCCACGTCCACCCACCCTACTCAGCGAAGAGGAAATTAAGGAGATTAGGAAGAATTTGAAGAAGTACTATTACATTTTCGAACAAAAGGATCGTATGCGTATGACTCGCGCCTCCAAGGAACTGTTGGAGAAACGTGCTCAATTGTGCGAACAATTCACCGAATATCGCAACAAACGTATTGCCGAGTGGAAGGATCAGAAAGTACGACGTATGCAGCTCAGAAATCGTAAGTATTTATTTGGTATTTATCTTAGGTTAGGCTAAGTTAAAGGATGCGCGGTTGTATAAACAACCACTCCATTCGGAGACCTATTGGTCCATTGTGTTCATCCTAATTTAAGAAGATAGGAGAATAGAATAAAGAGAAGAGAGGGAAATGAATAACGGATAGTGAAGAAGCGATAATCTTAATAAACAGTAGCGAAGTTAGTAGGTTTTTATTGTATTTATCTTAGAATTAATAACTTCTATGAAAATATCTTCATTTCGACAAATTAAAAAAATGATATTTTTAAAGAATTTTAAATATATTAGTTCAGGAAAACCATATTCGTATACGCCCATACTTCCAAGGCATGTTCCTATTCGGATTAAGCGGTCAGAAGGTCTTACAATTTTATGATAAAATATGAACTTGACGCACTCATTGAAGAGTGAAGTTCTCTTGTTTATTCGTGGAATGCTTGCCGTAGGAATATTATAAAATTTCAATGATCAAATGAAGTCGATTCAACCATCATCCAACAAGCAATTAAATTTCAGGAAGTATCACCCCCCACAGTAGGAAGAGGCATACAGTTTGAAAAACCACTCCTTACTACAAAACCAAAAACCAAATATAAATAATTAAAAGAAGCAAAGTACATTTCTGTATGAGATATTTTTGATCACTGAAAAAATATCTCTTTTCTTATACCGTCAAGAAAGATAACGTATTAGAGGACCAATTTATGAAAGATGACCATTTGAATGAAACTTCCCATAATTTTCAAAACGGGACACTTTCCACTTATAAAGAAGTGTGTGATTTTTACATGTCATAAGAATATTTCAAATCAAGCCTACGTAAAATCGTGTGAAATGGCAAAATCGTTACAAGTACCGAATATTTTTTATTTTTTTTTAAATTCGTTACGATAGCCTTTACCGATACATTTGTTAAGTGACATTCCACAAGTTGACATTCCACAATGTGACACTTCACAAGCCCGGTGAAGCTGTGTTTTCCATAGTATGTTAGAGGGTAATAAATGTCAGTAGAGGTCAAACGGAAGAGCAAAATCTAAACTGACTTTAGAATTTTAATAACACGTTTATTTTTTTATAGAACCCTTAACCAATATTTTTTGTTAGCTTTCCAAAATTAGTATTTTACTTAAATATTTAGCAACGAAATATAACGCCTGCAGCTTAACAAAGTTAGATATAATTATGTTACTTCTAGAATATTAGCTATTGCAAATATCAAACGTATTTTGTAGTTCATGCGTCAAACTTGGTCATTTGGTTGATATTATTTTTATTTCATATAAAATCTCATATTTGTAAGATATCCAAAACAACTTAATGTAAACTATTTCCGAAAATATCTTACACGAGTTAACAATAAATTTGATATGAAAGGAAAACTCACAGAAACAATATTTATTTGAAATAACTCCAACTTTTTTTCTTTGCAGATTTCGATACAGACAGTTTGGATACTGAAGAAGTTGATGAAGAAATTATTGAATTTTTGGTCAAAGAAGAAATCACTGTACTCGAGTAGTTCGTATAGTAATTATAAGTACATAATTTTTATTCAACTTTTTTTTACAAAACCACCCCTACAAATAACCGCAATCATTCAGCTGATCACATCCTAAGGAGACATTCTTGCTTGCCAGAGGTAATTTTAAAATTTGCAGTAAATTACCCCAACAAAATACATATATTACTTCAACACAAGAAAGCAAGAATTGCTCAGCCGAACATATTTAACGGCGGGAGTAACAACATCATAACTCTTGTCCTACAGTGTATTTTTGTCATCATATTATATATTTAAAAAAATTGTGTATATGAAATAGAATCAATAATACGAAACACAAACAATCTACTATTAATATACAATTAAATTATAAATATATTAAACATTCTTATTTATGTCCTTTCAAAGAACAACTAAAATAAAAATACACTGGAAGAAAACGAAAGGGGATTTTGTATAATGGGTTATGGTATGGAATATGGAATAACTATTCATGTTAAGTCAAACGTTAAGTTTCAATAACATTTATATTGAATTTAATAAATAAAAAATAAGCAGGAGTTATCTGAAGTGGATAGAACAAATACGTGGTCGATACATACACAAATAAATAAAACTTAAAAGTAAGACAAGATTACTCTCAATTCCCATAAAAATAAAAAAAAAAATAGAATTTGTCGGAATTAATTGTACGACGAGATATAAAAATGATATGGTTTTATGACGATTCGTATGTGAACTGGAAAGAAACAAAAATCGCACTCTTAGCATGTTTTTTAACTTTTTGATTTTTATTTAATTTAAAAAATACTCCTGGAATTGATGTTTTTGTTTCGAGTTCACTTTTATATCGTTATAGGGAAACATACGCTTAAATAAGAATTATGAATAAAAGGGGGTGAATTTTCTGGTAAAAATATTCATATTAACTAAAACGATTTTTAGAAATCTGATTGATTCACTGGAAGAAGTATTGAAATGTCCATAAAGCAATTATCCAGATACATTACAGGTAAACACATCAATGTATTGTCTTAAGAAATCTTTGAAGGATTCTTGAATGTCAATGACTCTTTATTATTTTAGCTTGATTGATTATAATTCCATCCAAAATTTCTTCAATTGAATTTAAACTAATAGATATATTGCCTTCCCTTAAAGGTAATGAATTAATGTTTTCTTGCTTCAGAACATTTTACATGTTTTTGGGAATTATCTTTGTATTAAAAAATAACAAGGTTCAGTTGCAGGGTAGGAGTAACGCTATGGGTATCCTATTTTTAGGTCTTCCCAGGAGTGTTGTTAAGTTTCAAACACACACACACACGATGAAATTGTTTTATTAACATCGACAAGAAAATGTCAATTTATTTAATCTATCAACATTGACCAAATAGATAATAGAGCATGGTAGCATACGACACAATGGATGGATACAACAAACATGAGTAAGCGAACTAAAAGTTGAGACACATGCATATACACCTGGGCGGCATACAAGCAAGTGTACATGGCGTTATTACATTTCGTGTTTATTATCAACATAAGCCAATAATTGATAAGAAAAATATCACATAAATATGATGACTGCCTGACTGAGGGTATGTTTGTGTATAGCGTTAGCATTTACTAACCGACTTTTTGTTGCTGTTTTTCTATTATTTTGTTTTTACATACACACTATCCAAGTCAAACCGCCCGACTAAGCAGTTCAATTAGCCAAAAAATATATATGTAGATTATATATTTTGCCTTTTTCTTGATTTGAAGCAAACGACGCGGCGGAAGAAGTTGTTAGTATCGTTTCAACCAGTGTTTCGTGCGGACAGCGCAATGTTTCATAAGCTCAAGGATTCGTTTCATCGATTTATACGCTACATCAAATGGCTGCATATGCTGTATGAATTGAACACATATATATCAATGTGTGAGCCATGGGAAAAAGTGTTTCTAAGTAAGTTATGGAAAAATCAACAGATTAACAAGAGCATTTTCGCATGCCTATGACAATAAGAAGACGGATGGATGAGTGCGAAACGATAGGCGGTTTTTTCCTTTTGTACGTTATAAAGTGTGTTATTAAACTGAAAGTAAAACAAGGTTGGCATCCAAATAGGCAAACATTGTTACGAAATACCATGGTGTGAAATGTTTAAAACATGCTAGCCAATCGTGTTGTGAAGGCGAAAAAAAAAAAACAAAAGCTATGCCTGTTATGGGGTCAAGTTAGTGTATAATATAATGTGCTTTTTAAACAAGGAAATAATTTAACTTTTGACATGGTGTTGTCCTTGAAAGGAACTTCCTTTTTTTGTCAGTATCAAGCCGAATAATACAATACATTTGCTTCTCGCAATTTTCAATTCTTGATTGAGAAAGTCTCACTTAACGCTGCTAAAAAGGAAAATATTGAAGAAAAAAATGAGACAAATTTATTGTGATTCTTTAAATGTATATGAAATTTTCGTGTTTATGAAAAATACAATAATAACGGTATGAGAAGAGTATTCGAGTATAAAAAGTATTTTATAGTGCAGATCAATCGGGCATGTGTAGAATTTTAATTGCTTAGTCGTGTTCCAGTAAAATCATGAAGAGTGTTTTTAAATATCTTCGTTTACATCTATGTTTCATTTTTAGTAAAAAGTTATTTGAGAATTGGTTAATACCAAGCTTGAAAATGTTGTATTCCTGACTATGTCGGAACGAATATAAAAATGTTTAGTCCTTCCTTGTTGGTTCAAAATGATAGAATATTTTGCTGGAAACAAGTCAACCACGCGCCGACCATCTCGATTCCGGCGTTGCTATAGCTCCCATTGATTTTTGATTTATATTTAAGCCTTCCCAAAATTATAATATGCTATTTCTGACAAGAGCAGAAAACAATCGTCTTAGATTAAGATATAGCTCCCAGCCATGTGTTTTGTCTGGTTTTATTTTGAGGCCTTCCCTAGCATAAAACCTTGTCAAATTGATGGAAAAATGTTATGAAATTCAAACATTACATCAAAAAAAAAAAAAAAAATAATAATAATAATAATAATAATAAATAAATAATAATCATAAAAATGTTGGCGATAAACAATAATTTTAGGTTTATAGTTAAAAAATATACTAGTTCAAATATGTTAGATTAATATTATTTGATTTTTCAAAACTTTGTTGTCATTAAGAGTGAAATAATTTAAATTGCCCGTTCGATGAAAATTAAATAGAAAATCGTGCAACAAATTTTCCTCTATTTTTTATACCCCCCACCATAGTATGAAGGGTATACAGGGTGACACAAAAAAACTGCAACAAGGTCAAACGCCATAATTTTTACATTTTTTTTTAAATTTTATTGAATGAAAACAAAAAATGTCGTTAATTGCATCAAATTTTAGAATAAGTTTAGATTTGTTCGAATTGGTCACCTTTGGCACGAATTATGGCCTTCAAACGACCAATGAAACCGTCAAACGCTGCCCGAATGCTGCTCTGCGGTATTTTGGCCCATTCCCGGCGAAGCGCATGCTTGAGGTGATGGACACTTTGGTATTTTCTAGTGCCTACCTTGCTTTCCAAAATACTCCATACGCAATAGTGCAACGGGTTGGTTTCCGGAGATTTTGGTGGCCATTGTGCGCTGGAAATAAAGCGAGGAACCTCATTTTGTAACACATTTTCAGCTGACCTCTTTGACAAGTAAACACGATCATTTTGTTTGTTTACAAATTGCTGGACAACGAATGTTTTCTCCTCGGAGAAAACCAAATTCGGCAGTTCACCACTTTTGCCAAACGAAGCAACTCTTTAGCTCCTCTGAGTCTATATTATTTCTGTTGCGGTGCAAGTTCTTGCACTTTTTGGAATTTCAATGGCTTTACCCGAGCTCATTTTTCAATATTTGCCGAATGGAATATTTCGATATGTTCAGCTCACGAGACATTTTTCGGCCACTGCGGCGAGGGTTTCGATCACATCGCTTCTTTACTTTTCGAACCATTTCTGCTGATGTTACTGTTTTCTTCCGTCCATTTCCTTGTCGTCGGGCTACGTTACAGTATCACTGTAACGACCGATAGTACGAGACACAAAAGATTTATTCACATTTAAATGCTGGAGTGCTCTAACGATAGCCAGTTTTGGGTAGTTCTATAAAAAATGTATTTTTATTTAATTTTTCTTGGCTTCAATTGAATAATCAGGGTTTTTATTTTTTATAACTTTCGTATTTCGACTATCGTCGACAGTCAACTTCAGGGAAACCATGGCTCAATAAGAAAGCTTGTTCAACTTCAAGAAAACTAGAAAAATTCAACTTTGTAAGGGAGCCTTATAGTGTCAAACAGATTTTTAATTATGTAACAGTTGGTTTTGTTTATGTTTAATTTTTTTTTACAAAATTCTTCTATTCGGGAAAACCCGCGAAACAAGAATGGAATTTCGGCGTTATTATACAGGGTTGAATCTAAAATTGTAGGACAATACACTTTTATCACGAAATCGTACAATTTACGTCGAAAATTTGCATTTATTTTGCAAACAAATTTGAAATTATTTTAAATTTTTGTATTTTTTATTCAAAACAATACACACATAGACAAAATGTGTATATGTTTTGACAGAATAATGGCACCAAAAGAAAAAAAAATATTTAGGGGACAGCTTTGTTCTACCCATGGTACAATAAAAAGGTATGGTAGAGCTTCCAGCTGATTACAATTTTTTTCTAAGTGTGCCCGACTTATGCCAAATTTGTGTATGTATTTATTGTTTTGAAAAATAAAAACAAAATATTTTCAAAATCAATGAATGGAAGAAGCTTAAATCGCGGGGCGCTCACTAATGATATTAACCAGATTTGCCACGGAATTGAAAGATTGAATACTTAGGATCATATTTTTGAGAGAATATCCATGCATTTCATTCATCTTTCGTGCTATTTGACTCATTTTAAAAATGAACAAAAATATCAAATAAATGAAAACAACTTGTTGGATATAATTTTGAATTATTCTGACAGGAAGCGGGCATAGTCTCAGGGCTGTATTTATGTAGTTTTACGAAGCTGTTCTACCTCCTTATTGTACCATGGTTCTACCTTCATTTATTTTGCCATGAGGGAAACATTTTTTTGAGACAAGCAACTGTTTGTGTAAAAACTGATTTTGAATTTAGTTACAGCGGATGTTTTTTTATTTTTTATTTTATATTTCATTCATCAACCAAAAATTTAATGTTTTTCTATTTTCTTCAAAGAAGTATTTTTGCTTGAAATTTCTGGGGAAAAAATGTGACCCGTGCAAATTTCATCGAAAAAGTGCATTCTAGCTTGATTAAATTAAATATTTCGGCAAAAAGTTCAAGATATCGAATTTGAGAGATAGACTTCCGTTGTGCCGATCAAAATTCACATTTTTATCTATCTAAAATGGGCCTACATACTTTCATTTTGATTTGTCGAATACGAAAATTTCGCCTCTGATTTGGCCAGGGGTTTTTAATTATATTGAAAACAATTAGCCGAGTTTTATAGTTTGGCTTGATCTTTCGTTAAATCCAATTAGAAATACTGTGTTTCTATATGTGCGTAAATCGGATTTTTGCATCACAACTTGTCTAAATTACCTATAGTGCCTGGAAAGAAATAAATGGTAAAATACAAAGGGTATATATCTGTCCGAACAGTGATTATAACTTTTTAAATTGTTTTAAATACCAAAAATGTTTAAACATGTTATCAATGTCTGCTGTTGTCTTTTAAACTGTTCAGATACCCCTGCCACCAATTCCTAAAAATGCATCAATCATTATTCGTTTAATTATATGAACTGTTGACTGTGTTGCTAAAAGTTTGGTTCACATGAACCTAACAAACAACAACAATTTATTGCATTACAAACACAAGACATTTACCGGTATCTTCCTCTGCAATATTAGTCAATAAAATATTTATTGGAAGTGGTATTTGATAACAAGAAAAAATAGCATGATTTGTCTACGCAATGTTTATACCCCTCTCCTGTTTTTCGATAAAGCCTTTCTATACCATGATTGTACATTTTTTGCTTTGCTTATCAGTATCAGAAACCAAACCAAATGATTCATGTTTTATTCTTTTTCCTTCCAGATTGTCTTTTTGCAACTACCCTGGGAATTATTTTGTATTCGACGTTTGCCTATATACCTGGCTATATGTTTACTATTATTAAATATATAACACCGGCGTTATATTCTTCCTCTGCTGCGACGTTGACTCTATCGGAACCGTTAAGTGCTAAAGAGGTTGAGTTATGATTAACGTAGAGGGATGCACGCACACACAAACGCTCCTACGCTCACATGTTAGCTTTTAGTTATTTTTTATGTCTGTTCGAAAGCGAATATTAGTAAATAAATTATATTTATACAATAAAAAAATAAGAAAAAATATCAAATTGTTGTACATTTTATTCTAATTCTTCAAATGGATTTCAAAAGTGCTAAAATCACTGATATGCCTACATTATTTTATTATGCCGAATTTGGTTTTCCCCGGTGAGAAAACATTCATTGTCCAGCAGTTTGCAAACAAACAAAATTATCGTGTTTACTTGCCAAAGAGGTCAGTTGAAAATGTGCACCCTCGGTTGGCCAACAGAACTCAAGCGCCGGCTATGGTGATGGTGTGGGCCGCCATAACAACGGATGGTCGCTCTCCGCACGTATTAATCGACGGTGGCATCAAAATAAATGCCGAATATTATCGCGAAAATTTTTTGGAGGGTGGGCACGCAAAAATTTTGGCCGCAGACCTTGGCTTTGGAGTCCAACAGGACTAAGCACGCGTCACCCATAAATGGCTACAAAGTGAGGTTCTTCGTTTCATTTCCACCGCACAATGGTCACCAAAATCTCCGGATACCAATCCGTTGGAATATTGTGTTTGGAGTATTTTGGAAAGCAAGGTTGGCACTAGAAAATACCAAAGTGTCGTTGTCCTCAAGCAAGCTCTTCGCCGGTAATGGACCGAAATACTGCAGAGCAACATTTGGGCAGCGTGTGACGGTTTCATTGGCCGTTTGGAGGCCATAACTCGTGCCAAAGGTAACCATTTCGAAAATTTGATGCTATTACCGACATTTTTGGCTTTCATTATATAAAATTAAAATAAAAAATAAAAATTATGGCGTTTGACTTTGTTGCAGTTTTTTGTACTTACCCTGTATATGAGATTCTTGTATGAAAAACTATGAAGAGAAGTTATGCTACATCAATTAAAATAAAAGGCGAGCAATAAAACGACTTGTTGTTTGGAATCCCTATCTTGTGATTAGCACAACAATTGGATTTTCCTTTCGTAATGTAATTACGATAGGAAAGCATTATTTATTCATATGGTTCGCCACATGACACGCAATGTACAAACAAGTAAAAAACTGGGTCTTTGAAACAAATTAAATATATAGTAACATGTATGGTACAGAACGAAATTGAATGTTATTCTCCATGTTTCATTTCGGATTCATAAACAATTCTTTTAAATCTTCTTACCAATTGTTCACATTTTTCGGTTAAGGCAATACTGACATAGGAATTTCCTTGCAAGGAACATAACAATTGTTCGGCGTAAGATTGAAATCTAAAGAATAAAATATAATATTAATATAACAAAATTGTCGGTAACAGCTATGGATATCTTAAGAATATTTTGTGGTGAATTATGGAATTTAATAGAATATTTGTTACTTTATAACTACTGCTCATTATGATTTTCAGCATTTATTTCCTTAATTCCTAAACAGTAAAGGTTTTCGAAATTACCAATATAAGTTATATTGCTATATATGTTGTGGGTGGGCTCAAACAAATTTTACACTTTACCTACCGTTTAATATGTTTAATTCTTTGCATATATGTCTGATACTGTATTTCCATATGTGCTTTCCGGCATTCAACATCTTGTATATAGGATTGCATTTCCTTCTGTTGTTTTTTCGAAACCACAACGATACTTTTGGTAACTTCACAAACATATTCTTTATCAATCTCTGGATTATTACTTAGACTGTGTCTTAAAAGATTTAGTTTTCTTTTAATTGTTGACGTGAATTTGGAAATTTGCTTTGAAATATCTAAATCGAAAAAATTAAGTGACCAATGTTATTATTATGTTCTTTAATACAACTGTCTACTACGAAGCAGCCACTCAATTTAGGCAAAAGCAAGCAAAGAAAATATTTAAAAATTTGTGTGTGTAAGGATCTAATTCTTGGTAAGAATGACTCTGAACGCTCTATTATACTAGGAGCCTCTCATTTTTGTCCCACTGAAACAAATAATCTCTTTTTGCAATGGTTAGACAATAAAGATAAGAACGCTTGGCCGGAACAATTCCCAGATTTGATACTCTTGCGTAAAAAATGTTTATTTTGGTTTCCTTACGGGATTTTTTTGTTTGTTTTTTTTTTTCATTGATATAATCCCAATATTGTGGGAACAATTTTTTAAGGATTATAATAATATTTTTACATTAATTTTTAAAATTTTATTGAATAAAAGCAAAAATATCGAATTTTAGAATAAGTTTAGATTTGTTCGAATTGGTCAACCGAAGGTGCACATTTTCAGCTAACCTCTTTGGCAAGTAAGCACAAACATTTTGTTTGTTTACAAACTGCTGGACAGCGAATATTTTCTCATCGCAGAAAACCAAATTCGGCAGTTTATCACTTTCGGCAAAGCGAAACAACTCTTTAGCTCCTTTGAGACTATTTTCTTTCTGTTGCGGTGTAAGTTCTTGCACTTTTTGGATTTTCAATGGCTTTACCCCGAGCTCATTTTTCAATATTTGGCGAATGGAATATTGCGATATGTTCAGCTCACGAGACATTTTTCGGCCACTGCGACGAGGGTTTCGATCAAGTCGCTTCTTTACTTTTCGAACCATTTCTACTGATGTTGCTGTTTTCTTCCGTCCATTTCCTTGTCGTCGGGCTACGTTAAAGTATCACGGTAACGAGCGATGGTACGAGACACAAATAATATATTATTCAAATTTAAATACTGTAGTGCCCTGACGATAGCCAGTTGTGGTTTTCCAGCCAAATATAAAGAAATCACACTATCACCTGCTTTTGTAAGCTTGTAAACAATATAATGAGCTATCACTGGAATAATTTTAATTTGGTTGCGGTTTTTCATCTCACCCTATATAATCTGCAAATTCTTCACAAAGCTGTGTATTTTTTAGAATAATTTTAAAGTGTCAAAAATTTAATAAAACTTACTCCAAAATAAAAAAAAATAAAATTTATAGATTTAATATATATGTAATATTCTTGGAGACAACTAATTAGTTGTATTTGTGGAGTACAAAAATTTGTTATAAACTTTAATTCGATTTTATTTTGGTGAAATGGATACATAGAACACTGCTATTATAATGTTTACAATAACTATTTTTTGTGATCAATGTTGTTTATGGAAATTATAGAAATATATAAATTATTTGTGTCTCAAATGTAAGCAAGATTGATATATAAAATCCAATGATACAAAAAAAAAAAAAACAACTATTCAGTGAAATAATACAAAACTTAAAATTCAACAACAATACGGTTGTGTTGTTTACTCACTTATTTCATGTAAATCAATATTATTCATACTTGATCTCCTTAAATTCCTTAAGTATCTGCTGGAAGTCATAATTGCAACAGGAGAATCCATTGAATCATCACTTAGCACAATTGTAGAGTCTTCCGACTCATTTTTGTGTGTATTATGATTTCCTAAACTTATTTTAGTTTTCAAATGACTTGTGTTTTTCTTTGGGGTTCTATGATTTTGATTTGCCTTATCTATTGCACGTGTTTGGCTTCTCCTTATTTTATTATCTGCAATGAGACTATGAAACTAAAGTCATATTTAAATACATTTAACGTACTTACTTTCGGAGTTTTTATATCTAGGCTTATTGTTTTCCTTGTTGGATAAATATTCGTTATTATTGTGCTCTATTATGTCCATTTTGTTATTATCAAACATTTCCGTAGAATTTAAAACTTCATAAGACTTGTTTTGTGTCTTGGTTTCAGAAGTTGCGGTTTGACTATTCGATATAATATTATTTTTCCCATTTTCTGTAATTTCCTCATTTTTAATATCCAATAATGTTACGTTATTTCTTCTATGCGGCGAATCATTGTTATTATTGTATTTTTCCACTTCAAACGAGCTGACTTCATTACTATGTCCATTGAAATCCGCTCTGCTGATTAGGACATCAGGTGTGATATTATGTTGAGACATGTGGATATTCAGATTATGCGAATTTTGTATTATTGGCAATTCTGGAAATTCATACGAAGCATCTCGACAATTTCTTAGTAAATCTAATATTGAACATTCTTCTTCCAAAAATGTGTCTTTATTTACATTATTATGTGAGCTATGTAACGATTTTCTTTCAATACCATCTCTAAATGTCTGAAACTGCAAAAAAGGGTTGAAAAGTTTATTTTAAAAAATATAAATACTTTAACCTACATCAGAGCATTCCAGATGATCTTCTAAACAGTTATTTTTTAAATTAACCACATTGTTAGCAGTTCCCTTCTTAGAATTTGAAATAGCTTGGAAATGATTTTCACAATCTTGAATAAGCCAAGGATAATCTTGCATTAGATTTTCGGTAACATTAGTTTGAGGGTGTTTTTCATTATCCTGAATTAGACAATCATTGCCCAGCATAAGACTTTCAGTTATATTAGTGATATCATTGCTAACTTGGTCTTTTGGTTCGCACGATTGATCTTCGTTAGATAGATTGATATTAATTTCAGCGTATTTATTACTTTTCCTTTTTAAAAGGTTATTTGTTTTCAAACATTTTCTACCGAAATAAATTATAAATTTAATTTAAACAAGTGAAATATGATATCTATAAATAAGGTTTTTTTAAGAATTTGACTGTTTATGTTTACCTATTGTTGTTTTTTGATCGCTTTTTCGCTTTTTTATATGGCACATAATCCTCATCGCTTTCATCCTTCCTTTTCCTTTTTGTACACAGCATACTTAATGGATGTTTTGTTTTAGGTATTTTTGAGAGTTTTTTGTGATTTTTCGTTGTTAGCGGAGAAGAAATCGTTGGTGAAATATAAGAATTTTCTATTAGACTTGCAGTCATTGTTTCCAGGGGGATTGTTGGCATTATATCCACATTGACCGTCAACTCTTGAGACATGTTATTTATAATATTCTCAATACCACCTGTAAGACGGAAAATAATATATATTTTGCCATTTGTTTAATGAGATAACTACCTTGTGATGTAAAATTTTCAGTGTTTATTCCGTTGAGGGAGTCTTGTTTATCTGAAAGAGGCTCACTTCTCGAAATTATATTCTTTGATATTGAGTTGTCTACAAAGATATCAAACGCTAAATTCGTTAAAAAAACGTTTTTGGGATATTTCAGATAGAAGTTCTTTTGACAGATAATTTATATTAAAATTTTAGCATCTTTTTTGCAAGATCGCATACATATTTTCTTCTAATAATTTCATATCACAACATAAATATTACCTTCGATATTATTTACATTATTGTTGTTGTTGTCTAACTGTTCAATGTCTGTAAAGATATTTACATATTACTCGCGTATTTGTAATGTTTAAAAAATAAATTTTACCTTCATTTATTTCATTCGTTAAATAGTACTGGATAACCTCTTGCCTTCGAACGCGTTCGACTTCTTGATTTGGTAACCATATTTTTAATTTATTCTCTTTTGTTAATATAGGAAAACTGTTTATATTCGAGTCGCTAAAGCATACCGATAACATTTCCATTTCGCTAGACACAAATATATTTTTTCAATTATTCAAATGCATAAACATTGAAAATACAAAGCTTACATTTCTATCTTTTCAATAACAAATATGCCTTCGATGTTTTGGTATGATAAGTTGGGGCCAGCCTTAAAACGTCCTTCAAATGATAGTGACTTCTTATTTAGATCTATCCAAAATTTGTCATAATTCTAAAAAATTAACAAATCATAGAAAATAAACTCTAATCGCTTTTTTCGTTGCATACCAGGCGTTTAAAAATTTCGTAATCATTTCCAATGGCAATAAAATTACAGTAGAAGGACACATTTGGGCTATAACTCTGTATGCAATTGTAGTCATTTAAAAACTCTCGTTGTGTCTGGAAAATAAAGTAAATACATAATAATAAAATAAAACGTTTACTTGAAATAATATCAAACCTTTAAAATTAATGGCAAGTGCTGGGTTTCCATAATGAGATTTATCAGCTCATTTTCATTAATTATAAAGTGTTTATTTTTAATTGCTTCAAATTCCCGTTCCCATTTACATCTTTCTGTGTACTTCATCAATATCGAAAAAGTTTTTAAGATTAATAGTTGTGTTTTGTAATTTATTCCATATGCATTGGGTTTCCATAGACAAGCTCTGTAAAGATGCTATATAAATTAAATGTTACAATTCTTGTTCCATTTTATGGTATCTTACAAGGTCCCAGATGCAAAATTGTTGCATTTTGCTAGAATATCTGGTGGAAGATTGTGCAAAAGTCTATCCAAAATTAGTAACAAATTGTAATGATAATCTGCAATATCATCAGTGGTATATTGCAAATATCCTATTATGTATGTGATGACTGTTATTGCTATATTTTCATAAAGTTTCATCAGTCTGTCTTCATGGGGATTGATAAGATCCTGAATGTTCTGAAATGAATCAAACTTTATTAGATATAATACGAGTCATAATAACTAAGTGAATCAATTTCCATGCACCCTTTACATTATTATCGTTGATATCCTAAGTTGAAAATTTGCAAATAATGGACGTTAAGCATATTATCCGAAATGTATTTTACGAAAAACAATTATAAGACAATAAAGCGAGAAATAAAAATATTTGAATATAGTCGTCCAGAAAAAAATTCTGTTTGACTTTTAGACGTTTGGCATAGAAACTTACCAAAAACGTTTCGCACCATTTTATAACAAGCTCAAAAATACCCGGCTCTTGTCCGTGCATGTAACGCTCAATCTTAGCGAAGCCCTTTGCCATTCTACGTAAGGCCGCAGTGTTCTTAAATTGCATAGATTAGAAAAAATTCGTTATATCTTATAAAGCACCTACCGAATCCTCCATATTTTCTTGGATATTCGATATAATCGCTGATAAATAATTGCAGCGTTCACTCATTTTGTCAAAAAAATCTAAAAAAACAAATCAATAGAAGCTTGAATTATGAATTATGCGAAACGGCTTATGTTTTTCAGCGACACTTTGAGTGACATTGAATTATGATTACTGGAGAACGTAACGCAGTCGCAGGAGTTGCCAATGAGTTTTGCAAGATTTTTTTTGGTAAAAGAATACATGTAGTCGCATCGACAGAGCTGCTGGGACAATGAACTGTCAAACCAATTTTGGAATTAAAAATTTTGAATGAGAAATTATTGAAATTTGTGAAAATTCTTAAAAATGCATATCAAAACAACCTACGATTTGTGCCGTAAAAAAATATATAGAAAAATCTATTTATTTTTGTCAAAACATTTAAAAAAACTTTGACATATCAATGTTCCCGAGTGTTGATGCATCTACAAACATATATTCCTCTACCATGGTAGAAACAACAGTTGAAAATGCCTAACGATTTTTCCAATGGAACTGATTTTAGTTTTTTAATTTTTTTTTAGAAATTTGCCGTCCTAGCATTTTTCTAATACAATAAGGAGGTATAACAGCTTTATAAAATTTCAGAAATACAGACCTGAGGCTATGCCCGCTTTCTGTCAGAATTATTTGAAATTATATGCAACAAGATGTTCTCAAAGTGAATTTGTGTCGACTTAGATTAACTTTTTAACATATATACTGGCTAGTAGGTTTCTGTTTGTTCCTGTTTTTTTTTCATGTAAATTCGTCTCCAGCCTTATTGGCAATGATCTGTAGTAGAATTCTCTGACTCATTTTTGAATTACCGACAAAAATTGGTAAAATAAAATTCTTATAATTTCGGTAGTTTATGAAAATTTTCGGTAAGTTTGCTACGAAATCTAAGTAGTCGCTAAGACCTACCGATAGATAATAATGTCGTCAACTTAAACTCCTTTTTTATATCTAATTTAATTTTTTATATCAAAATTTGTACTTACCAATTTGGTAAATCCAGAAACGAGTTACGTTTAAAGTACAAAAAAAGCTTTTTTGACTGGCTTAAGTTATCGGCTGGCTTCTTCATAGAGGAACAGTCGAGTTTTAGGTTGGAAAAGTATGATTTCGGCCCTAGAATCCTTTTTTCTTTTCCTCACCTTTAGAGAATCCCACTATTGAAAAGACGGCCCTTTTTCGATTACATAAAAAAATCGCCCTGGAAAATTAGAGCAAAGCTGAATACTTGAAGTTTACTAACAAAATAGTGTTTAAAACCTGTTTGTTAGAATTGAAATCTCACATTTTCAGTACAGGTTAAGTTCTTTTGTGTTTTTACAAAAATTAAAAGCCAATGCTGAAAACATGATACAATGAAATAAAGGTAACCTCATTCCAAATTAGCATTCCCAGCTCTGCATTTTCTGTAATTTACCTTGTCAAATTTCAATGCATAAAAAACAGTTCCCATCTCTGATTTTGTGTGTATACAATGGATTTATGAATATAGATTTTGACAATGAGATGTTGTCAAATGTAGAATTTTAAAAAAAATGCTAACATATGATTGCATGATTTACCTTCTTAGTTCTACCATGGCTGAAAAGTAAATAGTTAAAAAAATAATAAAAATTAAAAAATATTGCTTGTGGGAACACAGTTTAAGAAGCTTCTTGTTTTACGATAAATTGGTTATGCTAAGTGCACATGACACGTGATTCGCTCTATGTTCCTTGTTCGACCATTAATTTAGAAATATCTACTTAATTCCCCACACTAAATTTGCTGAGCGAACAAAGATTTTTGTTCTTTGTTCCATTCAAAACACATTCAGAACTAAGATTGAATGTGTGCCATTCCTAACAAATGAAAAAATTAATTATGACATTTAAAAATTGAAAAGTTTAATGAAATTTTATAAAAATTTGGGAAGACTGAAAAGTATGAATGAAAACTACAATGTTGAATGGAGTATATACATTTAAATGAAAGTAAATTTTGTTTTCTCTCTCATCCGAGGTACGCATTTTGTTCATGAGTTGAAATTTCCACAGAAAACTGAAAACAAAAAAGGTAATATTTTCAAAATGTTTGTATCGGCAGAACAAATGTTTCACAAGTGTCTCTACAACAGAACTTAAAAACAGAAAAATACAAAAATTTGTTCAAAATATCAACAATTACACAAAAACTTGAAAACATGAATAAAAATTGTAAAATTAATGATATAATAAATCATTGGGAGAAAAAATAATTTCTTATATTCATATTAGTAAGAATTTTATGTATTTTCGTATAAATTCCCATTAAAATAAAAAAAACAAACAATTTGAAAAAAGGAATTATGCGGTATGAACGGATTAATTAGTGTTCCTAATTTTGAGAACAACGCGATTGAAATTGCAATGAGAACATAGCATAAGTCGAAAATCGACTATGAATAGTCGAGTACTCGGTTTTCACCAAGACCATAGTTCGAGTTATCGAGATTAATCGAATGTTGACTTACCTATCCCTATTTCTAATCCAAAAAAAAAAAAAAAAAAAATTATCATTCCTATTAACACACTATAAACGTTGACCTAGTTAATTAAGAAAATACTTTCACAGTATAATTGTTGAAAATACTAAAAGAACAAAATGAATGCAACAGTTGATCCCAGACGTAAGGAAAAAGTTAATCGCTACAAAGCACCACAGGCTCAGGGGCAAAATGGCAGTGGCACTGGAAATGAAGATTTGACACCCGACTACATGAACATTTTGGGTATGTGAACATAGATGCAATGTAAATATAGTTTAATTATGACTATTTTAACCCATCTAGGAATGATTTTCTCTATGTGTGGTCTCATGATGAAGTTGAAATGGTGCGCTTGGTTTGCTTTATATTGTTCGTGTATTAGCTTTGCTAGTTCTCGTGTTAGTGACGATGCTAAACAGGTAAGCAGAGATTTGTTTTATCGGATATGTTTCTAAGATTATTATATATTTATGATATTTATGGTTCCTTGCAGGTTCTATCATCCTTCATGTTGAGTGTTAGTGCTGTTGTCATGTCCTACTTACAAAATCCTGCTCCAATGACTCCACCATGGGTATCATCTTCATAGAATTAAGTTATTGTTCTAATAAAATAAACAATTGTATGGGTAAATAGTCAAATATGTAAATGTTTTTTTTTATCGCGGGATAGAAGAACATCATTAAAATATTATTTTATTTGCAAACCTGTTGAATTTAAAGACATACTATTACTTGAATATTTAGAATATATCCTAGACCAATTATTAAATCGATAGGTAGAGTTATATGAATAAACTAGAAAAACGTGGACCTACCGTAATAAATTGGCTCAAGTCCCGTAAAATTTTTCTACAACAGTTTTAGATTACAACCGGCTATAAATTTTTTCTCACTGAAGTGTATCATCTGCACTCCCGTAAGCTCATAATGTTTTAAAGATCGATTAGTTTTTGTGATTCTGAATATATTCATAAAGACATATATAAGTATGTATCCATGTAACCATCCATAAGGACTTTTCTTTTTGAAAGGAGAGTTTGTCGCCTAACCGCGTTGGATTGTGCCTATAGGAGAAGGCCTTTTATTCCAGCCGATGGAGAACTAACAAGGATATTTGTAAAAGGAAATCTGTGTGTAAAAGTTTGAATGAAGGGCTGAAAACTACCTTCTTTGCTTTGTTGATTGAAATCCGTTTCTGGCAAATCTCCAAGCAGATAAATACTTACTAGTTAGATTTTTTGCAGTAGGAGGAAAAGTTGAAATGGAGGTCTATTAAGCACGTTATTGTAACGGGTTCAATGCTAGAGATAGTAAGTAGTAAGAGCTCACATGTGATCGTTATCTTTTGCGATCAAGCGCAGACAAGCTGTAAGCATGTTTTGTTGATAATCAGCACAAATTGTGATCTTGAGATTAAGTCTGGCCAAGTTGTAAAATTCGTTCGTTGTCAAACAATTTAAGATTTCTTTTGAAATAATGAAATTCCACCTTCAGTAAAATGTGATGTTATATTTTAGACCTTCTCAAGAATAAGTCACTCCATTTTGGATTTATTTCCATGGACTTTAGTTTGTTAAATAAATACTAAGCTAAATGAATTGTAGTGTATTGGTGACCATTGGATTAAGTAACTTGGCACCCAACAAAAACGGGCTAGCCCAAATTTCATTAGATTTGAATTATTGTATGGGCTTTATTCACAAAGATGGTTGGTTGCTCAAAAATCTCAACATTAGTTTCTTTGGTCTTCTTCATTTTCGTGTGTTTGTACTTCATTTCCATTGAAAGATCTATTCAAAGACTTCAACAAAACTTCTATTCTCCTAGTCAATAACAAAACAACTTTTTCTTATTTTTTTGTATCTATTTTTAAAATTCATAGTAAACCAAACAAAATTAAATAAAAAAAATGATCTAACAAATAAATTTTTAGTGAAAATATTTTAGTTCATAAATAATATCTTGCAAGCTGCATTAAAAGTGTTATTTTCTAAATAATATATTGTTCTTTTTGCTCTAAAGCCAAAATCCGGTGATGTTTTCCCAGCTATGCATAAATTTGTTGTTAATGTGAGTGTGTGATGAAAATAGTATGTCGACGAGATAAATAGTAGTTAATAGCAGTAGTCCATAAAGATGAGGTTCATAATGGTCATAATGGTATACACGAGTGTTAGGTAGCACTTAAGGCACCCAAAAAAATCATGTTGGTTGGTATGCAAAAAAACTATTTGTTTAATGTGCAAACAAAGCATTAATAACAATTCAAGAAGACGACGATATTTTTCGTTTATTGTTATCTTGTTGCTGTTGTCCTTTTTTTGAATTGATATTGGGGCGTCAGGGAGAGGAGAATTTTCTTATATGTTATAACGTTGTATTGGGCATAAACCATTGTGTTATTAGATAATAGATAAAAACGCAAAAGGCAAACATGTAGAGGGCACCCAATATTAGAGGATATTATATTTCTCCGAAATTTGTATGACCGGTGGTTTTGGCATGTTGTGTGGCCTGCACTTGACCCACCATAGCTATGCCACACTGTAAGCAACGCAAGGAGAATTTATCAACATTTGTGAATTGTCGAGAAGATTTGGCTTCCTTCGCCAGTTGCTCAGCCTGCTGATATACACCAATCTCTTCAATGGGAAATATTGTAGCGGGTACACCACTCTGCAAATAAATATAAGAATATTAAAAATAGTTTATAAAGATTTAGATTTTAATTCAATGTCCAATATATTTTATAAGAGACCAAACTACTTTATATAATAAAATAATAAATATTGAGCTGCTTCTTTAGGTTGAGTATTAATTAACTATAACAAAATTAGACTGAGTTTTTATAAGTTTATCACCGCAACAGAGCAAACGGCGAACTTATTTAATTTATTTTCCTTTTTTGTCTTTAATATGTTTCCAATGGCGAACGGAACATCTTATCTTATATACGTATGTATGTACGATTATTTGCTGAAGTCTTGCATGTAAGGGTGAGTCTGCATGTCAGTAGTAAAAAATACGTTTTTCTTTGTTTATATTATTATTCGCCTAAAGGAAATGTTGTCAGCCTTAGTACTAAAATTAACTTTCAGTTGCTCTGGAAAACGATTTCACACCCATCACAACCTAGCAACCCTCCCACAATTATATAACCACATAAAATAAAATACTCACCTCAGTTTCCAAATACAATGGATCATAGTGTATGCCATCGAATAACAAGAATACTCTTAGGCCATAATTTTTATCTTCTCCAAAACGATTAATGATAGCATTTTGTATATCAACCACATCAATTTCAATGCCATAGTAATTGGAAAGAATGGCTACTTCGATGGCGCCACCCCACGAATCTGGCTTTTGTATCCATGCACAATATTCCGAATTTGATTTACCCAAAACAGCATCATTGTATTCCTGGGTATTTGCTGCCACTTCCTGGGCAATAATGTGACGCATCATTTCACTGCCTTCATTGTCTATTTTTCCATTCAGTACAAAGCGTATGCTGGTAAACAAGCATGAGTTATCGGCAGGTACAACTTTCTTTAGGAGTACACCATTTAAACTACCACCACCAACGCCTAGACCGTCGTTAGGTGCAGCCGTAAGGCGTTCTGCACCACCACCGCTGTCGGAAGAGTTTGTGGCTGCCGCCACCAATTGTCTAAGCTCGTTTTCTTCTTCCTCTTGCAGGCGACGTGCCAAGGCTTCATCGTCTTCAATACTGGGTGCTGCTGGGGGTGCAACCGTTGCATCGGCTTGTTTCTCCTCAACAATCAGTGTTTCACCATTGCAGATACCCGCTGCTTGCAGTGTTTGCTGTACATTTTGTGTCACATCCAATGGCCTTGGGGGGAAGCCCATAAGCATGTGCAAATGTTGTTCTTTGATTTGAGTTAATTCGGCAATACGTTGCTTAAGATCTGCTATTGTTGTTTGATTAGTCAAGTCCTTGACAATGAATTGACCTTTTTTCGATTTCAATTTAACACTGAAAGTACCCGTCATCGTGAATTTCGTAATATTTCCCTCTTACGCACAGGAATCACGTCGAATTTTTTGATGGGCTAATTTTAATTTGGTTACTTATTTTTTTTGTTTTTTATGACTTTAATTTTTTCCCCTTTTTGCCACTGCACACTCACACAAGAATAATGAGAATTCAGATATCAAAGTCGCTATTGAATAGGCGCCGCCGAAAAATGAGAAACAAAGAGCATAGCGAGTGATGGAAGATAAAAATCAAAACAAAAGGCCCATTTTTAGGGCTCTGAAAATCGAAAACGGATGGGGTTTAGGGCTTGGGAAACGTAGTTTGGCGGAGAAAAGAAGATTTCACTCTGGTAAAGGCTTTCAAGTTGGTTAATGGTTAAAACGAGATTGATAACATTAAAGGAGAGTTTGCGAAAATATGGAACGTCTGGCTGCGAGTTAGATAGCTATAAGTATCTATAGGCCCGTTCTTATATAAGTATAAAATTCACATTATCGGGTTCTCATTATTACATCTTTCCTTGAAAATATATGCATTTTTTACAGACATAGGGCAAGCTTTTTTTAAAAAGTAACTAGTATTCACTGCATTTTTTTACAATGGCTTCTTCATTTTAGTTCAAAAATAATAAACAAAATGCGAATTTGTAATTAATTTTGTGAAATAAATTTATAATTCAGTTCTTCAATATAAAATAAACGATTTGCGTTATCCATTTTTTTATTTAAATCAGTTTTGCTGTTATTGCCACATTATCAATAATAAATATGGCAACACGAATTCAGTAAACTTTACGTTAAAAGATAAATGGAAGATGGTCTGACCTTTTGCTTATAGGATAGTTCATACTTAAATGAAACTTGTAATAACGAAAAGCGATTTATGTGTCCGGCAACATCACTTTTTTTATCTATCGGAAAGATGTAATAACCGGCCGCAGTCTGGTGAGTCAGAAGATCCATTTTGATCAGTCGATCAGAAATGTTGTTAAGCTTCGCAAGTACCTCTTAAGGTGAGAATACATAACACGCTTTATTTACTATATTGCTGGCTTCTTTAGAAAATAACAAAGGAGCGAAGAACCAAGATCGAACTAAGGGCGGAAATACATAAAGAGCATATTTGGCTGGCTTCTTCGTAGATGAACAAAGGAGTTTTAGGTTGACTTAGTTCGATTTTTTAGTTCTTGTTCATTTCCGAAGAAGCCAGCCGATGACTTAAGCCAACCAAATATGCGCATTATGTATTTCCACCCTTAGTCAACTTTTAACTCCTTTGTTCTTTGCTTCTATGGCTTTGCTTTGGTCCTCTAGGTAGAAACCAGCCGATATCTTAAGCCAGTCAGAAAAGGCTTTTATGTACTCTCACTATTAGGTTTAGTTAACACCGTCGGATTTTACGAAGATTCGTTATTTACTACTTATTTACTTGATTAAAACATTAAACGAGTTGACAATTTTATTAATTCATTTATGAAAACATGTTCGGTGTATCTAACTTCCGCGAGCATTTTAGCTCGTGTTTTTGTAACACCGCCAGGACACAGAAAAGGTTCGAAGCCTTCGATAAACCCGATTATTTAATTTTCCTGAATTTTAAAATAAATTTTCCAATTTTAAAACTGCGTCCCTTTAGCCATTTTGTATTTTTCTATAAGTGTCCAATTGTGAGTCCTGGACCCTTATATGTCAATGTTGCCATATCTGATGAGAAAACAAAAGCAAATAATTAGTACTTAGATCGATTCGTGCTAGAAGACTACTTTTGACAACAATTTGACGATAAAGTTAGTAGTTTATACACCATTGTAATTTGACTCTCTTTGAATTTCAAATCACAATATGTCTTTTGAAGGAAAACTTGGTTGTTAGATGGACTTACTGGCCGACCTTATGTAGGTCTGCAATCAAACGTTTTATTTTCAACTTGTGCTTATTTCGTGTATAGTAATACCGAGGTCATGCTGATTTGAAAGAGAGACGCTTGAACATGTTGGGGAATAATAAGACATTACTTTGAAAATCACGGTAGAATTGCAGAATTTGTGCGAAAATTGGGTTTCGATTTTGGAAGAGTCAAAATGAGTCACTGTTTGGTGCTGATGTTTAATGAGCCATTTTTCTTCGAAAATGATCAGAGAGTGGCTGTTACATAAGCCACGTTAAACGAATTTTTGTTCACAAAAATCAATGTTGAGGATATTGGCAACATTTGGCGCCGAGGCAACACTCGATTTTCAAAAAAAAAGTTATTTTGTTGGACCCTATATAATATTGCGCCTAGAAATATGCTTTTAATTTGTGTGAGGCATTATTATTCCAATTGATTCAATAAAAAACATTCCATATTTTCGTTTAAAAATTATTTATTTGTCTATTTCTTAGCTATGATAATTATTAAAAAATAATATTTTGTACTTATAAATAAAAGAACAGAATACTTGGTACATTTCAAAGAGGCATTTAAATTTACAATATTATCTCATTAATTTAAATTTAAAGAAATGTCTTTATATATGTATGTGTAATTGTGTGTTGGTGGGTTGAGTTATATGTAGATGAAAAAATGACTATTGTTTTTCAATTGAGGTTGTATTTCTATTGTATTTAGCCGAGGAACAAAAGTTTCTTCAACAACTTGAACTTCAAGAAGAAGGATTGATCATCTGTGGGATTGACGGGTTCAGAGCCAGCAACAGCGCCACCATCGATACCCTGAGGTATGGCTTCTTCAACGGGTACAGCGCTGACGAATGCAATGCAGGCAATGCAAACAATGACGGCCTGGAAGGAAAAATGGATAGATGTAAGTTTTATGGAATCACAGCGGGCTTATATATTTGCTAGTATTAGAAAAAGTCAGCAGGGAGGGAATCAAATAAGTGTTTTGTTCTGTGCACGAAAATGGTATATAAATATAAATTTAAATATAAATTTAAATATAAATATAAATTTAAATATAAATATAAATATAAATATAAATATAAATATAAATATAAATATAAATATAAATATAAATATAAATATAAATATAAATATAAATATAAATATAAATATAAATATAAATATAAATATAAATATAAATATAAATATAAATATAAATATAAATATAAATATAAATATAAATATAAATATAAATATAAATATAAATATAAATATAAATATAAATATAAATATAAATATAAATATAAATATAAATATAAATATAAATATAAATATAAATATAAATATAAATATAAAAGTGGAAAAATAAATCTTTTTATGAAAAAGGCTCCTAAAGTTTGCGGGAAAATACAATAAAGGCGAGCTTATTCAGCAATCGACAAATAAATCCAAAAATACCAAAGGAAGGCCATCCATATTTTAAATCATTCTCTGTTAAGGAAATTGCGCATCCCAAAATTTAAAACATACAGGGTGATATAAAAAACGGCAACAAAGTCAAACACCATAATTGTTACATTATTTTAAATGCTATTGAATGAAATCAAAAAAATGTCGGAAATAGCATCAAGTTTTAGAATAAGTTCAGATTTGTTCGAATTGGTCACCGTTGGCACAAATTATGGCCTTCAAACGGCCAATGAAACCGTTACACGCTGTCGAATGTTGCTCTGCGGTATTTTGGCCCATTTCCGCCGAAGCGCTTGTTTGAGGTGATCGACACTTTGGTGTTTTCTAGTGCCAACCTTGCTTTCCAAAATACTCCGGACACAATAGTCCAACAGATTGGTATCCGGCGATTTTGGTTGCCATTGTGTCACCCAGCATATTTTCGCCATAATATTGGGCATTTATTCTGATCCCCACGGTCGATTAATACGAGCGGAGAGCGAGTTCTGGAGGCCAACCGAAGGTGCACATTTTCAGCTGACCTCTTTGGAAAGTAAACACGATCATTTCGTTTGTTTACAAACTCCTGGACAACGAATGTTTTTTAATCGGAGAAAATCAAATTCGGTAGTTTACCACTTTCGGCCAAGTGAAGCAACTCTTAGCTCTTTTGAGTTTATTTTCTTTCTGGCGCGGTGTAAGTTCTTGCACTTTTTTGAAATTTCAATGGCTTTAATCCGAGCTAATTTTTTAATATTTGCCGAATGGAATATTGCGATATGTTCAGCCCACGAGCCATTATTTCGGCCACTGCGACGCGGCTTTCGTTCAAGTCGCTTCTTTACTTTTTCGAACCATTTCTTCTGATGTTGGTGTCTTCTTCCGTCCACTTCCTTGACGTCGGCTTAGACTACCAGTATCACGGTAACGAGCGATGTTACGAGACACAATAGATATATTCACATTTAAATGCTGGAGTGCTCTAACGATAGCCATGAGATTGAATCATATTTAAAATAGAAATGTTTATGAAATCAAAACCTTATACTTTCTTCGTGTTTTCAATATTAAAGTTAATCTCAGATGAAGACATTAGTTCACGACAAAACAAAAAAAACTCTACCCTTGGGCGCCATATTGCAACTGATGGAAAAAAGTAAGATAGTATTCAGAGATATTTAAAGAACATGACTCTGATCGTAAAGAAATACGAAGGGATGATAAACAGGACTAGAATCCTTGAGTAAGTCTGACAAGAAGCAAATAAAAGAATTTGTAATTGCTGTATTTGTTTTAAACAATTGGTAGACGATATTGAAAGAGGGAGATACCAAAACTAAAGTTCTGAGGTGGTCAAACCGAGCGATATAAATGAGCTTCGGTTTGCTCATTCTGCTGATAGAAGAGAGCTTTTCAGTACACAGAAGAGATTTTCGGTACAACATATATTTCCACACAGGGAAGATCTTCTGCAAACAGAAGACTTTTTTGTCCACAGAAAAGGTCCCCGGTTCAGAGAAGATTTTTTCTACTAACGAATATTTTATTGTTTTCCTCAGATGGTATTGATTGATGTCTTTTATCCAAGGCATATGTTTTCTATTCACTTTTCAAAGGTGTTCACCTGATATTTAATCTCATTTTAGTTTTATAAGGAGTGATGTCTTTATAAATTAAATATGACTTCGATCACGTTGAGAATTTTGGCGTATTGGTTGTAACTTTATTGCAGGGCCGGGTGCAGAGTCGCACTTTTATGTTCTTCCAATTTTATTACTCAGTGATTGCATTTTTTTTTTTTTAATTTTTGTGATTGTGAATGTGGAGAAGATTTCTTGGCACTGCTTAACTGTCATATAATGTATTTTGGAAGGATATCAAGTTGACTCAAAAATGTTTTTTTGTCCTGTTTTTTTTTATACAAGATATTTGAAAAGAGATATTTCCGAGCCGATTTTTTTGCGAATTTTTAACAAATGTTTTAATATTGTGTTCGACAATGTTTTTTTTTATTTTCAATTAAATTTTTTTGTAATTTCACATTTACACCTTTAATAATTTGCTAACAATTTGATTCCTTTACAAACTTTTCAACACTTTGCAATAATTCTTTGCTTAATTTGTCTCCTCAACAACTTACCAAAACTAGGAATTTCATTTTGATATGTGTTATTTTTTTCAAATTTTTTTTCTTAAAAGAAAATAAAATATTATTTTGTAGTTCGTTTAGTTGAGATGTTTGAAATAAACTGACATTGATTTTGAGATATCAGCAGCATTTATAGCACCGTTTAAAGTTTTCAAATCAAATATTCAAACAAATATGTTGGGCTGCTGTTGTGTGTTATTGTTGTTGTATTATTTTGTGTGTGTGTTTTTTTTTGCCATACAAATCAAGCGTTTACCGCCAAAACGCCGACATGATGTTGACAAAAAAACGCTCACTAGCAGACGACCCCATATATTACTTGACTTCAGCCACAGCGAGCATGCATGTTAGTGGTAAAAGCACTAATATGTGTTGAAGCTAGTAGCTATTTAGCCATGTGAAGACTGAGAGAAAAAGCAAAAAATTGTCGAACAATTCCAAAATCACATAACCGTCTAGGTAATCCAGTTAACATGTACAATGCAATTTCATACAAATCTGTTGTAGGTATGAAAATCTTTGCTGAGTCTGTTGTTGCAAAAATTTTAGGCCGAAACATAAGCTGATACATCAAGGGGAGCATTTTGGATACCCTTGCCTTGAAAGATTAAAATTAGAGCATTTTATTTATTTAAGGAACTTAACCAGACTTACTTATCCATAAAATAAATTTTCCAAATTTTTCCGATGTTTCAGTCTCATAACAGCCGCATCCTCAGATTGTAGACAGCGAAAAAGTGGAGAGTAATATCAGCCTAATTAAATAAGACAATTTGAAGTACAGGGTCGAACCACCTAAAGCAAAACGGACTATGGGATGCTCAAGTGAAAAGACAGTAAGCTCGGCCGGGCCGAACTTTAAATACCCTCCGCCATTTGGAACGAATTTGAAAATTTCCCAAAAAAAAAACAAAAAAAAAAAAAAAAACAAAAAAAAAAAATAGTAAAATAAATAAATAAATAAAATTCGTTGAAAATTCTGTTAAAATTTTAAAAATACCGAATATTGCCGTTATATTGGGGTCTATACGAAAACGTGGACCTGCGCAGGCAACTTTTGTCATAAGCCAATATAATATTCAAATACGAAACTTGAAAATAACAATCCGGGGAATATTGTACCTAAAATCATCAAAATACCAAATATATGGGAGGTACCGTTACATGGGGGCTATACAAAGACCTGGACCTGCACAGATAATTTTCTGTCACAGTCTGTAGTACTTATTGGGAACTTCAAATACGAAATTTCAAGCAATGTTGGTGAATATTGTACCTAAAATCTAAAAAAAACCGAATATAGTGGGGTACAGATATATGGAGGGTATACGAAGACCTGGACCTGCATAGATAATTTTCTAGCATAGACTGTAGTTTCCATTGCGAACTCTAAATATGAAATTTGAAACAACTCCGGTGAATAATGTCGCTAAAATCATCAAAATACCAAATATTGGAAGGCACCGTTATATGGAGACTATACGAAGAAGTGGGCCTGCATACACAATTTTTTTGTCATAGGCTGTAGTACCCATTACGAATTCTACATAAGACATCTGAAACAACTCCGCGGAATAACGTCCCTAAAATAGTCAAAATATCGAATATCGGGCGTGCCGTTGTATGTGGGCAATACGATATCGTGGATATTTATCTTCCAGGATGTAAAATGCTATGAAAGAAAGTCTAGCATGGATTTTCAGACAATTCCATTGAAAAATGTAACTAAAATCATCAAAATACGGAATTAGGGAGGTACAGTTATGTGGACGATATCGTGGACCTATATAGGCAATACTCTTCCCGAGGTTAAAGTACTCAGAAGAAACTCCTTTTGAGGATTTTCAGACAATTTCGTCGAAAAAATTGGCTACAACCATCAAAATACCGAATATCGGGGGGTACCGTTATATGAGGGCAAACGACCGATTAGATATATCCAATGTTCGAACTTGACCTGCCTGCTGAGAAAATACTGATCTGTGTAAAATTTTAGCAACATCCGCAGAAATGGTTCGAAAAGTAAAGAAGCGACTTCATCGAAATCCGCGTGGCAGTGGCCGAAAAATGACTCGTGAGCTGAACACATCGCAATATTCGGGATAAAGCCATTGAAATTCAAAAAAGAGCAAGACCTTACACCGCAACAGAAAGAAAATAGACTCAAAAGAGCTGAAAAGTTTCTTCGCTTGGCCGAAAGTGGTGAACTGTCGAATTTGCTTTTCTCCGATGAGAAAACATTCGGTGTCCAGCAGTTTGTAAACAAACAAAATGATCGTGTTTACTTGCCAAAGTGGTCAGCTGAAAATGTGCACCTTGGGTTGGCCACCAGAACTCAAGCGCGCCATAACAGCCGATCGTTGCTCTCCCCTCGTATTAATCGACCATGGAATCAGAATAAATGCCGAATATTATTGCGAAAATATTCTGGGTGGCACAATGGCCACCAAAATTTACGGATACTAATCCGTTGGACTATTCTGAAGTATTTAGAAAGCAAGGTTGGCACTAAAAAATACCAAAGTGTCGATCACCTCAAGCAAGTGCTTGCCAAAATACCGCAGAGCCACATTCGGACAGCTTTTCATTGGTCATTTGAAGGCCATAACTCGTGCCAAAGATGACCAATTTGTAAAAGTCTAAATTTATTCTAAAAATGTATGATATTTCCGACTTTTTTGCTTTTATTCAATAAAAATAAAAAAAAAATATATAAAAAACCAGTAAAGAAAGTCTTAAAGTCGGGCGGGGCCGACTTTATGATACCCTACACCACTTTGCTAATTTAGTAGCATAACAAAAGTTTTTATGGGAGAACTCAATCATACACGCTATGATTATAATTATAGTTTAAAGTTCAGGGGCTAAATATGCCGAAGCATTCGTATCTAATAAATTCGGACTTATATTGCCCATTTGGTGCTTAATTAATTTGAAATCGGATAAAGATATATATATATATATATGGGAGCTACATCCAAATCGGAATCGATCTCGATCAAAATTTAGCAAATATATTTCTGAGCTGTATTTGATATATTTCCCTGAATATCGTTGTTACGGAGCGCATATTACGTCTGTGGGTAACAAATATGACAAATCGGATGAACACTATATATGGGAACTATAACTATATCTGTACCGATCTTCACCAAATTTGGCATACTACCTTCTAGACTAAATTCGGTCGTATGTGCCGAATTCCATCCCATTTGGACAAATATTAGACGTTTGGTGCACAATAAATGGTAAATCGGACGAACTTATATATGGGAGCTATATCCAAATCTGAACCGATCTCGATAAAATTTAGCAAAGGTATTTCTGAGCTGCATTTGATATATTTCCCCAAATATTGTTGTTACAGAGTGCATATTACGGCTGCGGAGGACAAAAATAACAAATCGGATGAACAATATATATGGGAGCTATAGCTATATCTGAACCGATTTCCATAAAATTTGGCATGCTTATTTTTAGGCCTAATTTGGTTGCATGTGCAAAATTCAATACTATTCGGGCTGATATTACACCGATTATCTCCAATTTCAATAGGGTTCGTCCTTGGGCCAACAAATGTTGTTTGGAAAATTTCATCTCAATCGGATAATAAATGCGACCTGCATTTTGTTCACAAAAATACATGGACAGATGGACGGACGGACGGACAGACGGACTGACATGCATAAATCAACTCAGAAAGTGATTCTATGCAGATCATCAAAAGGAACTATGGGTCTATCTCGTTTCCTTTTGCCTGTTACAAACAAATGCACAAAGACATAATAGCCTGACCACCTTGTGGTGTAGCGTATAAAAAATCAACTTATTGTAATATAATCTGTTAATGTTTAGAAAATATTCTTAAAAATCTGCATTTGTGTCTCTATTGTTGTTTGAAAAAACATTCTTAAAACATTTACTTTGGTAATTTTATGGGTGTTTAAAACACATTCTTACAAATACACTTTTGCTTTAGTTAAAAGCCATCCATCATTTTTGCTGTCTATGTGGTTATTTAATTCTTCTTTATAATCTTCTAAAACTATTTTTTTTTTTTTCAAATAAATGTTTTACACATCATCTCTATGTAAACATGTTATTGCCTACATTAATCTCATATTAGCCCGTAATTGTGCTTTCAGCCCTTGATGTTCATCAAATGATTGTGACGCTTGTGTCTTAAGTCTTTTGTTTATCATCTCAACTTGATTTGGGTTGAATTATTGTCATTGGGTTTTAAACACTTCTGTAACGAAACCTGTTTATGCAGAAATTAATTAGTACAAATGGAATGGTAATTGGTAGTGACATTCAAAAATTTAAATGTGCAAATTTTTTTGAAATTATATATTCTGAAAAAACCCCAAATTGTCTTAGCTTCTTCTTCTGGTGGCTGTTTATTGGATAATAATTTCATGTCAAAGGTGAGAATACATAGAAGGTTTTTTTTTTGACTGGAGCAAAGGAGCGAAATTAAACTGAGTCAACCTATACTCCCTTGTTCTTTTTGTGGAGATGCTATCCGATGACGATTTATTCTCGCCCTAACTTTGACAAAATTTGGCAATTTGTTTTATGCAATTTTGATTGAGATCCGGCGTCAGCACAAATTGACTGCAACTCATGTAGCAGATTCGTAATCCAATGGAAGAAATGTGAAATTTCATTTTTGTTGGGTATTGGTATGGTTGCATTCGACCTTCAGAATTTGACTTCATGACTACCATATTTCATAATTTTATACGTATATTACAAACGCTTTATGTCTTTGAATTCTAAGCGTTTCTTGATATATAAATCGATTTTACTCAATATAAAGATCTGTATTGAGTCCAAATCATGTGGTTTAATTTTTATACCCTCTACCATTCTATGGAGGATATATTAGCTTCGTCATTCCGTTTGTAACTCTTCGAAACACACAAAGTATATATATTCTGGATCAGCGTAAAAATCTTAGGCTATTTAGCGATGTCCGTTTGTCTGTGTGTGTGTGTGTGTCTGTCCGTCAGTCTGTTTTAATCGCGCTACCTTTGGAACGAATTGAGGTAGTATTCTTAAATTTTACATACATATGTATTTATACCCTACACCACAAGGTGGTCA